TTGTTCCAACCTTCTACCATTCTGTTTGCAACAGTGAACTTTCTAATACTTTTTTGGCAGCTTTATTACCTTAGGTTGAGTCTATGACCTTTTGTTTTTGAAGATGACAGTTTCAAGAATTAAATTTGTCAATTTTGTCAATTCCTGTTAATATTTTATACACAGCTCTTTTTCTTCTATCTTTTGTATATTTAATGGCTCTAGCCTCTCCTTGTAGTTCTTGTTTTTCAGTTCTGGAAGCCATTTAGTTGCATGTTTTTGCACCTTTTCCAGCTTACTGATGTGTTTCTTGAGCTAGGGGCACTATATAACTGCTACATATTCCAGTTTTGTTCTCACAGAGGTGAACAATTGCTTTAATATTTTGCCATCCAGGTATTTAAAAGCAATTTTGAAGTTGGAAAGCGTAGTGAAGGCACTTCACACAATGTTCTTTATGTGGTTCTCGGTTCTCAGGCAACAGTTTAGGGGTGGGTCTATTCAGAACCACCCTTAAATTAACCCTTGCACTGCGCACCTGGTTTCAGCAAAAACTTCTTGGGGCAATTGTCAAGGACATATTCTTGTTGTTTTCATAAATATTCAGGTAAATTTAATGTCAAAATGTTTCCAAACTCAACTATTTTCATTTAAAAACACAAAGAGTAATGAAAACATTAAAAAAAATTAAAATATAGCCTAATTAAAAAAAAAAAGAGCACCACTCTCAAAGCGCCTAAAGGCGCTTTGCGCAGTGCAGGGGTTAAGGTTGCCATATTTCCAACCTTAATTTAGGGGTGGTTGCTGCAACCTATGGGAGCATGCAGGGATAGGGGAAATAAAAACCTTATACGTCTGCAACCAAAGACCCACAGCGAAAGGCCCAAGCAGCCACGGAGTCAAAAAAGGGACCCAAGATCCCAAAAACCAACTTGTCTCCAAGCCACGGGAACCACTGCCAGAGGGCTCCGGTGTAGAGCAAACGTCCGTGGACACTCCAGTATAGAGAAATGGAGTCCAAGGGGGTGAAAGGGCTTCAAACAAAGGACTGGCAGTAAGAACAAGTACCCAGAAGCTGCACCTACCTCTGCACCTGAATTCAAAGGCAACCCCCAGAGCCACCCGAACCATATCCCAGAAGAAAATCCATACCTCCATTTCCGAACCCACTACAGGGCCAGAGGGCAGGGAGAAAAGAGGAACGGCAAACTACGCCTAAAGAGGAAGAAAAAGGACAAGGAAAATGAGACACTGACGAAACCACACCACACCACCAAATCCGAGAGACAAACACCAACAGGCAGCCTTGGGGCCTCCAACTGGTAAACAACCCAGACCACTGCAACCTAGGAACCAAAAACCAAGTGGTCTGACATTTTGACAGTGTTATATGACAGTGCTGGGAAGACGGGACACCACGAGCGTAGCTCTCATCCTATAACTGCACTTAGGTAATTACACACACACACTTTGGAACTGTTTATTCAGTGTGTCACATTTCCTTTTCATTCACAGAATCTGTGTGTAATTACCTAAATGTAATTGCCTTAGAGTAGTTACAGGTTGAGAGCTATACCTGTTGGGTCCCCTCTTCCAACTACTTTATCTTATGATGTTTTGAAACTACTGTACTGTGTTGGCATCCACAACTTTCTCATTTAACGTGTTCCAACCATCGATGACTGCATAAAACAACATTCAAGTACTTTTTCCAGCAGCCTTGTTTCCCTAACTTGAATCTGTGTCTTTTCTTGAAATTCCTGGTTTTATGAATTCCTTTGTCAATTTTGTTGATTTCTGTTACTATTTTGTATGTACACTAGTGATATCACCTCATTTTTTCTATCTTCTAGCTTTGGTATATTTAACCCTCAAACCACTAGGGGTCCAAATGGCTTTAAAGCCTCTTGGCTCTCTTCGTAGCATTCATTTTTCAATTTTATAAGCCATTTTGAAGGATGCTTTTGTACATTTCCCTGTTTACTGATGTGTTTCTTAGATATGGACACCATGTAAACACTGCAGCTTCCATCTTTGGTCTAACAAAGGTTGTGAACAATTTATTTAATATTTCACCAAGTACAGTAGAGTACTTAAAAAACTATTCTAAAAGTTGCAGGTGCCCATATCTCAAGAAGCACATCAATAAACTGGAAATGGTACAGACATACAACAAAACTGCTTCTGGAACTGAAAGAAAAAGAGCTATGAAGAGATTTTAAATAGGCCAAAACTAATACAAGAAAAAAGGTGATATGATTACCATGTATAGCAGTAACAGGAATTGACAAAATTGATAACTTAAGCACTCTTGAAATCGGGAACTTTAAGAACACGAGGTTAAAGATTTAAGCTATGGAAATAAAGACGCCAAAATACATCAGAAAGTTAACTTTCCAAACGGAGTGGCAAGCAGTTGGAACAAGCGAGGTGGTAGTGGATGCCAAAACCGTCAATAGTTTCCAAGTGTCATATGACAATGTACTGGGTACTCTTACCTGTACTCTTTCCTGTAGGTTTAGTATCATCCATGAACATATTCATATACTGTAACTTTTGAATCCCTTATGGTAGATGGTTTGTACAGGACAATATAAATAATGACCTCTACTTGTGCTAGTATGAAGCCTCTGTGGTACTCCAGTAGTGGCATTTCTCCAGCCCTAAAAATTGCCTCCTACTTTTGCTCTAATTTTTTACAGTAAATTTTTCATTGGCACCAGTTTTCATCTTATCAGACCTGTGTGTATCAGCATGCACCAGATGATGTGATTCATGCACATATGTTAAGTGCTTGATTAATGACCATTGTTACTAATAGCCCGCTTGTGTGTTAGTAACTACCGGGTATTCAGTAACATAGTTAATACTATGCCAGCATAACACACATTTCTTTCAAGTCTGACCCAGACACAGCATTCTTAGATCAAGGAGTTCTAAATTAATTGTTAAAATGCTGTCGAGTTTTATTGCTACGATTAAAATCCCAGACTTGTTAATGTGATTAAATTAGGCAAAATCATTTCTCCACTTCAATATACTGACTCTTAAGAGTACAGTACCCATTACTGTAAGTGCAACTTTACTTTGATTTTGTTTTAATGTACAGTAATTAGCAGTTAGAGGTTAAATTAAGAACTGTTTTATGCATTCCTGTTGGAAGACCCTTTCTACATGTCTAACAAAAATTAATATCAGTACTGTATGCAATTGACAATCACTAAACACTGATCATTTGTATGCGGAAAATCCACAGAGAAATGGGAGAGAGAGACAAACGTTTCGGCTGATCTGGGCCTTTAGTTGTCAGGTGTTGACAAAGGCCCAGATCGGCCAAAACGTTCATCTCTCTTTCCCATTTCTCTGTGGATTTTCCGCATCAGTACTGTATATATAAATATAGGGTGCCAACAATCAAGCAATATTACTGTCTCAAATTTGACACTTTTAAAGTACTGAACAGTATTTTGCCCCCTTATAAATCCAGCATGAGTAAACCTCTCCCCTTTCACAATTCGTATCTTCTCTAGTTTATTTTAAAGAGGAGCAGTAATCCTGCTAAACTATCACTATCTAAATTTTTTCAAACACGCTTCAGTTCTCACACTTCCTCTGCATTCAGTGGATATTTTCTCTCTCTCATTCAACAAGTCCTTAAAATTATTTCCTATAGCTTATGAATTTTCCATCTAGCTTTAACAATACTTACAGTATTGTTATAAATAACAAAAAGCTGTATCACATACTACTGATACTGCCCGAAACGCTTTGCGTAGTGGCGGCTTTAGGCATTGTATGTACTAGCTCTATCTATAAATCTATCAATTTTTGTAAAACCTCTTGTATGTATGTACTTTACCTGAATAAACATTTATTTATTATTTATTTAGTACATTTACACTACTTGCTATCTCACGAAGCCAGGCGTTTCGTTTGATTTCCAAGATATTCAGCACCCTTCTTTCAATGTTTCTTGGAACATTTTTCTGTACCATTATTGCACATTTAACTATTTTATATTTTTTCCACTTCCTTATGCATTCATCCCCTTCAGTCTAATAATGTAGGCTACTATAGGAACATTTAGGGTATAGGGTCCCGGTAGTACAGTGGGGTTTGTTCTCAACTCTCAATTGAGAATTCCACGTTCGACTCCCAGGAGGGACAGAAATGGTTGGGCGCGTTTCCTATCGCCTAATGGACCCGTTTACTAAGCAGTAAGTAGCTACTCAGGAGTTAGGTTTTTGTGGGGTTGCATCCTGGGTGGGGTCAATAACTACCTTGGGAAGGGGGGGTGCCTTGAATATAAGCCTAGTGTGTGTGAACACACACTGGCTGCCTGTCCACCAAAACAACGAATTATTAAATTATTTGAGAGCTAGTGTGGTAAATATCCAAATTTGTTCACATTTTAAATATGAATTATAGCTTGTAGATTTTAGTCCCAATTCACCCCGTACCTCAGCTAAACGAATTTTGGGATTCAGTCCCCGAGCCTATTATGTGCCTCTGTAACCCTTTCCACTACTGCCCCCAGGATGGGTATGGGGTGCATAATAAACTACTTGGTACCTAATTCACCAGAAAACACATTTTCAACTTTTCAGATTTTAAATTTAGGAGCAATTTTACAACTCTCCCTTCATCTGAATCATTAATGCACATCTAGTGCATACCTAAACTTACATTCCTCCTTTCTCACAATAACTTATTTTGCTCAATCTCCTTTATTTCTTTATATTTCTGATACTTTTACTTCATTTCATCTTACACTCACCACACCTATGTTATTTATACCTTGAACACGCCCGAACTCCTTGTACCACCTCACGTTATTCAACTTTTTAACTTAAAACTTAGGAACCACCAGATGACAAAAAGAGGTGTCGGGACTAGACTGGATGAAAACAAAAATCAGAAAGATTTTTATTTTTATATTGACAAGTTCTTGTAAAAATAAAAAAAAAAACACAGGACATACACAATCAAAAGACTTTGTACAGGACAATAAAACTGACACACAACAAAAATGTTATATTCAGAAATACTAAATGCTGTCATTGCATAAATATCACAGGCTCAAACATAAAACGGATAACAATTGGTAACAACAACTGCTACAGTTAGATAAAAAGGTATGACGGTGTTCCGGATCAAATGTCTTTATTCGAAAGTTTCTTTCAGTAGACTGCTCATGATTAACATTTAAACAGCACAGGTCTTTGTTAAAGATTTATCATAAAAATAAAAAGGGCATTTCAATATGAGGTAACAAACACTCCCATGTAAATTAATTTGCACATACAGTAATTCTGTATAGCTATATGTGTAGCCAGTAATAAGGCTATGTCACTTTTCCACATACTATACTCCAATACCATTTCATTGCATACACGTCTGTCGCATCAATGCAATGTTTCCAGAGTACGGTAATAGAAAATTGTGTCGGTCCTCACGAGCAAAGATGGAACTGCTTGCAGTACTGTACGTGCGTGTTGCAAATTGTCAAACCGATAAATGCTTCTTATCGAAATGTAGCAAACTTTGTCATCTACGGAAAGAGTGGTTGGATGTTGGGTTGCTGCTCATTAAGTATATATATCCTGCCATTATCTAAGTCACTGTACTGTAATCTATTGGGTCTATTCATCTCCATGATTTGGCACAGAATTATGGTTAGCCATGGACAAACTAAATGACAATGCACACCCAAAGTGTCTTGATATATCTTCACATATCCATCTATTCAAACTTATGTTAAGGACTAATGATGGATATAATGCAAGATGCAATGATGAGGCAAGGAAGCAGAAATGTGATGTCAACTACCTATTCAAACCTGTCAGGATAACATGATTTTGAACATGAGAGGTCTTATTGTTAATTGAAATGCCCTTTTGAATCTAAACGGTGAACATTAAAAATATAAAATGTAGGTAAAAACAAATTGTATAGAATATACAAATTCTGTAAGCAGATGTGCCATATCAATAAAAAAATTAGAAAATGTCTTTGAACACACACACATCCAATAGAAAGTTAACTGTTGCTGCTGCTGGCTTAAATCTTGGAATGACTGGGATGCTTGACTTGGAGGGCAACTAACTGGTACAACGGCAGGTTCCTTAACTGGTACTCTTCATTACAGGTTCAGGACATCAGTGGTTCCCTCATCACAACATACACAATAATTAACTTCATGTAACAGGTACAAGACTAGCTCATCAATGCAAATTGTCTCTCACAACAGAAGCCCATAAACGAGCACCACTACTTCATATGAAAGGCTAACGGAATAAATCTTCACATTTCAACAGCCACCAACTCCAAAATTTCCAAGACGGAACATAATGGAAGCAGAGCGTCTGGTTGTTAGACCCACTCCCGGTGTGGTGTTGATCTTGTTGCAGCTCACGTTGTTAAACCCAATGGTGAGGACCCTTGTCCGTTGGTGTATGGAGCTCTTCTTCATTGTCGGAGCCATGGTACGCCTCATTTAGCGATGCCTACAAATCCAGTTTATACCCTTGAGTCCAGTGTATTATGTTCTATATATGAATCCCGTCACCAAGTTAGCCATGGTTAATATTTTGTGCCTAGGTGTTAAAGTTTTTCTAAAAAATAGGAACGGGTTCATGTTCATGCCATGTCACGCGAGTGTAATGCTTAGCAATGTTACAACCGATGCCAGCTCCAGTGTACGGTTCTTTAGATGTACAGTACAAATAACCACCACCAGATTTATTTATTTCTAAATGTTGCAGTGATATATAGTACGAATTATCCATAAATCTTCTCTTAAAAGAACTGCTTATCCATATTACTAGAAAACCCAATAAATTGACATTTCATATAATGTTACTTAAATTTTTCAAACACAGAACATTATACAGCACACTAAAATGCATCAAATAATAATAATATTTCAGAGCAACATTTGGCAGTACTTACCCATATGAAATTTGATGGATTATTCCTCAAATAGAGATTTTTAAAATTGATCATCTTCAAATTAATGGAACCAATAACTATGTTACATTTTCAATATATCAACAACAAAAACTACCATGCAGACATGCACTGGATGATATCTTAAAAATAAAAAATATACATCATCCGAGACATTTTTGAATCCGAATACCAGTAATAAACTAATGTAATGATGTCTGCATATCCAAATGCGAAACTTCAACAATTACTTATGGAACTTCAAAAGTGACTCGGGGTAATGAAGTAGGCCAAAAATAGGACAAATGACACTTTTACAAGACAAAAACAGGCTACAAAGAATTATTTACTACTACTACATGCACATATATACATACATACATGCACATATATACATACATACATGCACATACTGTATATACATACATACATGCAACTATATATACACATACAAGAAGATAGCATTGGGAAAAGGCATTCAAATGTTGCTTAGTTACCAAGACCACTGAAAAAGATACTTAAGACAAGCTTCACTGCCCTGTTAAGGAAAGCAAACAAGTTACATCAAAGGATATCTAATCAGTGAACACAAAAGTGTAGAAAACAAAAACGGATAAATTACAAAATAATAAAATGTGAAGAAAAAGAACACACTGTAGGACTGAGGAATACTATACTAAATTAAAATTAAAATCAATAAATCTACAACATAGAAGTTCTACAAGGGGGAAAAAATCCCTTTTCCAGGGAAACAAGCAGGGTCATATTCAAGGGAGGTTAGGTTCATCTCTTATTTACGTTATAAAACTGGCAAGAGTAACTAAACGGTGAAAATTGAACTTTGGATATGGTCCTGCTTGAAGTGGTGCAATTATATATAACTGAAAAATCTTTTAAGATCTAATGGACTATTGAAGGGGGCGGGGAGAAGAGGATGGGGGGGGGGGGAAGAGGATGGGGGGGGGGAGAATAGGATGGGGGGGGAAGAGGATTGGGGGGGGGAGAAGAGGATGGGGGGGGAAGAGGATGGGGGGGGGAAGAGGATGGGGGGGGGGAAGAGGATGGGGGGGGAAGAGGATGGGGGGGGAGAGGATGGGGAGGGGGGGGGAGAGGATGGGGAGGGGGGGGGGAGAGGATGGGGAGGGGGGGGGGGGAGAGGATGGGGAGGGGGGGGGGAAGAGGATGGGGAGGGGGGGGGGGGGAGACGAAAAGAGCGAGAGACGGACAGGCACACAGATAGAGGGAGGAATTCTGACAATATGATATATAATGTACTCTATTTATGGAGGCGGCGGCTAAATGAAAACAACTATTGTAAAAGTTATTCATCAATGTCAAACATTTTTAGCAAAATCAAAGTACTTTGTATTACTTTTAGTTACTTCAAGAGTTTTACCACCAACAGCTGCTTTTTGGTCAATACATGAACAGAATACCACTCAAACTAAAGAGATTATTTTGGAACACAAGAAGTCTACCAAACGGTGCTCTACTTCACACATGTTCATCTAATGCACCTAAAGGTATATAAACACCAACACTATATAAGAGCTGCTCCAATGTGAAGCACATTACTTTACACTGTCATGCAGCATATATAATACTGAATAACAATGTCTAATATTAGCCTTTAAACATGTTCTATACTATATTAAAATAACAACTAAGAGGAACAAATCATGATTGTCATTAAGAGAGATTCAAGACATATTAAACAGTATCACAGAGGAACATTTGTCTGCCCTTAAGGCAACGTTTAATATAGGAGTGCATCACTGTGCAATGATACAGTGTCCGTGTAATCAACACTGCCCACACATTCGGAAGGAGCAGCTCCCAGCATGATTGCATCTATTTTCTCAGAATTTACTGGAGAAAGCAAGCATTGCAAACACCCTCTGGAGCCTGATCTGGAGCAGTGGCAGTCGAGAGAGGGCGACATTATGTCGACATTACGTACCTGCTTGGCTAGTAGGTTTTGCTTGGTCATTTTACGCACTGAACAGTGGGACTCTTCACGATCCTTATTACTGCTGTAGGATGAAGACGCCCGACTTGATCCTATAGAAAGGTCATGATGAGTCAGAACAAGTCCTCATAAGTCAAACTAGTGATAAGTCAGTTACATTATTAAAAGAAATCAGGCTGTGGTCCTGTGGTTACTAAGCAACCAATTTCTAACAAGGTCAAATGAAATCGTATAACACTAACTACTAGGTAAATTAAAAATTACAAAAATATAGCTGATTAAATTAATACAACAAGTCTCAAAGTCAGAGGTCATGTGTCTAAAATACTATTCACAAAAATAACATGTTTTTAATTTGAATATTTTTTAAAACGATACAAGGATGAAAATGTATGACAAATACATAGTGTGACTGTAAACCCGACAAATCCCTCGTTACAGTGAACAAACACAAATATTTATAACGATAAAGCAAAAGTTATGATTTAATAATGAACAATTTTGTTTAATTGGAGAGAGAGAGAGAGAGAGAGAGAGAGAGAGAGAGTACCATAGTAAAAATCAAATGGTTAATGATTTACAGTAATCTTAGGTTGGTTAGCTCAGCAGGCAACAAGCCAAGAACAACAAAACCGTGCAACAAAGGGGTGCAGAGTGCAAAAGTTAACAGGGCATGGAAAGAGAAGGAAGCGTTGAGTTCCCTTTATTTTACAATTACAACAGGAAATTTCTACAGAAACTGGAGATTGGAATCGAACACATAGTAGAAAAATATGAACACACATTCAAGGGAAAGACTGTCCTAACTACAGAAAGATCTAGATCGAGTGCAGACTAGAAATTACTGCAGGTGTCGCTACAAATAATTTACATCCATCATCTATTTTAGCCAAAACATAGCATACGAATTTAATTATTTGGACTGCATAATTTTAATTTGTTATTAAGAATATTTATTTACAAAATTAAAGTATTAGCGTAGAAGAAAAGGTCGGTTCACAACAAAAAGCAATAGTTTAAATATATACAGTACACAGTTCACATTCTTCAACACATAGCAAAGTGAAAGATAAGAAAAAGTAATAATGCATCAAAAAGCAACTACCTGGCAAAACCTTTTATTTATATATACTGTGTGTATATATTATATATATAAATATACACACACACAGGAATGTAAAAATATATCTATCTACCATTTCCTTAAGCCAGATAATCTTTAAGGTGATGCTTTATGAAGTTTTATCAAGATTCCTGTAAAGATTTTTTTTTACTAATATTTCAGTGCACTTCTTTATGGAAAAAAGACACTATTTATCAAGGTTTGCATTAGATATCAACATTATTTCATGGCAACAATATACAAAATTTGTACAAAACATTTTTTTCTTATTCTCATCAGCTAATCTGGTGGATCTCCAAATTTCGAAATAGGTACGATTACCTGCTCAAGGAAAGTAACGAGATCAATAAGCAATTGCAGATACATTTGGATTAAGTGGACCTTTGGCATACTCCAGAGCATTTGCCTTGCACAATTCCTACCCTTTTACAGCTTCTATAAATGGAAAGATGTAAGCAAATCTTGTTTTAACCAACTGGTAAAATAAAATACTAAAATAATAATAAGTTTGCCTTATTATGATTACCTGACTAAATGCAAGTCTTTGGTGGAAACTCTCTTTATTCTATAAATGGTTGCTATGGTGGAAATGCAAACTGCGACTTCAAGAACAAGAGGCCATAGTTCAAGCTAAGGAAACAAAGCTCGCTGAAAAAATATAGAAAAGTTCTCTTCTGTGAAAGAGTTGTTGACAGCAGGAACAATTCAAGTTTAAAGGTGTTAAATGCTAAAACCATTTAAATGCCTCCCTCGTCCTGTGCATGCAAGGTATTACCTATTTGTAGTTTGCTTAAGACCCCAGGTCCACATTGCCTTTAAAAAATCTATTAATTTTTCTTTAATTTATAAGGCTATTTTTATTTGTTACTTTTTTGTTTTTCACACCACATTATGAAGTACATTCTATCTGTCCATAACTATCTGAGAAATAATATATTGTCATATCTTTATTGTAGTTGTATTTGTTGTTTGTATTTCCTATTACCTGTAGCACGAGTGATAACATCTTCCTTATTCCTCTTCTCACAATTTGATGCATTATGATATACTGTATTAAAATTAACAAGCTCTTGTCATTCTTTCAAAGTAATCAGCTAATTTGTTTCACCTTGCAAAAAATTATACATTTCTTTAAATTCCAAAACCAATGTGTTACAATGCCTTCAGCAAGTTAATTTTACCGACTTTCCAGCAAAGGCATCACACGACTTTCATTTTCCGATTGGGTCTGACAAATATGACGGTTCACATTTTTGGGGCATTTTCTCCATCCTTGTTATTAAGCGCTTAAATAGAAAGACCTATGTAGCATAATGGTTGCTTTGTCAGCTGACAACAAAGGATCCTGGGTTCGATTCCCGGTCAGGACAAATTCGTTGGGCACATTTTCTTACACCTGAAGCCTCTGTTCATAGGAGGTACAAAGTTACATAGGAGTTATGCAACTGATGTGGGTTGCATCTATTTTCTCAGAATTTACTGGAGAAAGCAAGCATTGCAAACATTATGAAAGCATAGGGAAGGCCCGAAGTTGGCCTAGGGAAACCTCGATAAGCCTAACAGGCCTCCTGTCTCTAACTATGAGGACCCATAAAGTGAATCAGCTGGAGCTTTGTGTGATGTGTAGCATCTGGAGCATGTCAAGCATGTCGAGTACAACATCCAATTATCCAATATATGTGCAGTTACACTTAATTTTTTTACATTTCTATGGAAAAAATAAATGGATACAATTCCAAAGGCAGCTGTGAGGAAAGAAAAATTAAATACACAGTACTGATACAAATGCAAAATAATGTTGAAGTCTAATGCACCCATAGCAAGCAATAAGCAGATATCTGACAGTGCTACACTTGAGGCTGCTTTAATGTTTCAGGAATAATTAGCTAGTTGCCAGGAAAATCGCAAAAGCAGATGAAATACATTTGGTACGATGCATGTCCAACCCGTTCTCGCAAATTTAATAAATCAACATTGACTTATTAAATATGTGCATAGGTGACATACTTAACATAATAGTTTCCTTTGAAAAGCTTCATAGAAAACACCTACCTTACCTAACCTACTTAGTATGTTAAGATAAGCATCTTATTGCTTCGTAATTACAATTATTACCTAACCTATACCTATAATAGGTTAAGTAACAATTGTAATTACGAAGCTTAAGATACTTATTTTAACATACTAAGTAGGTTAGGTAAGGTCGGTGTTTTCTATGAAGCTTTTCAAGGGAAACCATTATGTTTAGTATGTCACCTATGCACGCAACTAATAAGTCAATATTGACTTATTAAATTTGCGAGAATGGCTTGATGCGTCTTTATGCAGCTGAAACAGGGTTGAAGAACTTAGATTTAGTTTCAAATGCACAAGAATGATAAAAACACTATTCTAATACAGTATTTCAATCCTCTGATTAACCGAAGAAGTTTGCTTCATCTGAAACTTTAAGTTCTAAAGTTTCTTGTGCAAACTTTCTAAGTGTAGTGTACAACATTTGCATTTTGGAAAATAACCAAGTCAAAGCTGACTCTAATGCCCATTTTTTCCACTTACAACCCTAGAGTAAAGCAACTCTTATACCTAATGTCTAAAATTAGTATATATACATATCCTGAATAGAAATCAGAAAGATAACTTCAATATAAAGATACCTATGATTTCCAGCATCCAATGGCACAGTCACAGATTCTGCATGTTTACCAGACCACACACTAAAAGGTGAAGGGACGACGTTTCGGTCCGTCCTGGACCATTCTCAAGTTGATTGTGTGAGTCAATCACAATCGACTTGAGAATGGTCCAGGACGGACCAAAACGTCGTCGTCCCTTCACCTAGTGTGTGGTCTGGTCAACATACTTTAGCCACGTTATTGTGACTCATCGCCTGCACACAGATTCTGTAGCTAAAATTCACTACAGGATCAAAGAAACTGACAAGACATTCATATTGACATCATGAAACAAGATGGTGTCACATCTAAAAGCTCAAATGTGTCTGATTCTTTAAAAATGTGTAATAAATGCTGCTGTAACCGACATACAGTATCAGCACCTCATCGTGTAGTAGTGACAGGCTGTTTTGGAGCGATTCCCTGAAGGAATTATCACAATATCTAATTGACTATTTCAATATAACTTGGCACATTTACAAGGTAAAATTATGGAAAAAAATTTAATACTTTGGGTACAGCTGGAGTGAGGTCAAGGGTTACTGAACTTTATGAAAGCATTTAGATTTTTTTTAATCAGCGGAGCAGTGGAGACATTCAGTAATTCAAACTATTTCTTCATTAAAATATATCAAATTTTCTTTTCTATTTCACTTCTGTTGAATTTTTTAATAATGCTCAAGAAATGCTGAGAAGCAGACAATGTAAAATGCTGATGCTCTCTATGTAGTCGTATCATAAACCTTCTCATGAAGAAATCAATGTTGTTCTTCAGCTCTATTTCAATTTTAAGTCAATCCCCCCCTCTAAAAAAAAATATATATATACACTATAAAAAGAAAAGTTGCTGCTTAGAGCACTGAACACAAGTTTCTAAAACTTATAGATACATATTGAGATGCTTTATGGAAGACGAGAAGTTTTAAAAGAAGTCGGGGAAAGTACTGTATTGGGTTGAAACTTGAATAAGGAGATACTGTAATTAGGTAATTACACTTAGGTAATTACTGCAATATTGCACAATATCAAATGAAAAATGAGAGTACTAATGGAAACAATACTACACAAGAGAAACCAAATCAAATATTTAAATAAAAATAACAGACACTTAAAAAGGAAGATGAAGTGAAATAGTTAAGAAGAGACAGTTCTAAATAATAGTGTCTAGGGTGCAACTAAGGACTGATGCAGTCTGAAGGAGAAAAATGCATACCAATAAGATCACTGCTGAATGTTCACCATTACATTACTGTATTACCAAGGCATTTCTTCATAATACTAATTATTTTTCTCCATAAGCCTTCCATTAAATCTCAAAGAAAGCTCCCCTTAAAACATATAATAAAAATTTACAATGTATGACAACTATACGTTATATACATATGACACAACAAGAAACAAAGACACGGTTAGTGACACACACACACGGCAAATAAAGCACGCGCACAAAGTTTTAACTGCTCATATTAGAAAACCATATCTACCATACAGAGCCCATTAACGTCTACAATGTTGGAGGCACTACCCAAGAGTTATCTTGGTGACATTACCCCGTCGCATTAGCGAGCCCTCCAAGCTGCTGGTCAGACTGCTTGGTTCTCCGCTGTCATCTTGCACATCAACACCTTGACTACCGTGCTGCTGCAAGTGCGGATCGGCAAATCGCACATTTTTGCTGTTGAAGTCCTCGTCAACTTCCCGGTCCCGTAGTGTCAACACCAGCATACGGAATAATTCCCAATCTCCAAAGTTCATGTTTAGCACCTGTGAATTGTCATTAAATTATAGAATGGAACTTGGTTGGAAGTCAATTTCAATCAACTACAGAAATGACAAAGGTGAAATTGTAAATGCTTTGCCAATTAGTACAAAATTTGCTATTTTTTTAACGTTCTTCCATGTACCGTAAAATATAAATTATAATAAAACAAGACTACAAAAATTAAACAGTAAACACACACACAAAACTTTCACAGTGACTTACCTTCTTAAGATCATCTAAATCACAGTGTAAAAGAACTTTGCCATTAATATTGTGCTCAATAAAGCGCTCCTTGTAACTGGATATCAAGGTCGTCGATACACCTTCCACCTTACTGAAGACGTGAAACAACCCTTCAATAGTTAAGGATGAAAGCTTTTTATCCGCTGCTTCAGGCTGTAGAAAAAGAGAAACTTGTCATAAAAAAGTAAACTCCAGACAATAGAAATATAATATTGTTTCAATAAAAGCTAGATCGAGGTTTCTGTAGCACCTTCACCAAAACCTTACCTGAGTATTCGGGAAAAAAACAAATACTTCAATGACACTTATCATGCAAACTGATGAGAATAATACTAACCGGTAAACTTGATTGACCCGTGCTAAGCACTGGATTGACAGTGATGGGGGCAGTGTTGAAGTCAACTGATGGGGCTGACTGTATAGAGGACATAAATGGGGGTCCATAGCCCCACATTAGAGTATTCATGGGGGGCATGCTGGCTGTAGAAATCTTTTGGTTCCCTCTTAGTGGCTGCTGGTGTGAAGTAGGACGAGTAAAATACAGTAAGAACAATGTTGCTACTATAGCGGAAAGGTGACAGCATAGTAATACTTAACATTCAAAACAAATATTTTATTCGTAAGTGATTTTAATTCCTTTTAAATACAGACTACCACCATGAATATAAAAAAAATGTATACTTCAGAAGTCCACACTGTATTAATACCTGTCTTCTTGACGTAGTTGAAGATTTACTTTGAGCGTCGTAATGTTGGAATGCCCAAGGATTTGGTGCATTGGCAGCAAAATATGGGCCATTGTCTTCAAACTGTGGCTGATCTTCCTTGATAACCTGATGCATAAGAGTAAAGTGTATTAAATTTAATGACCTGGATTCACAGTACTCCTGCACGACATATAAAAAAAAAAAAAAAAAAAAAACGCATTACGCACATCACATGCATTTCTTCTCGATACAAAAATTATTGCTACAAATATAATGCAGAAATATATAGCAATTCTACTGTAAAAAGATGAACACCTGACACAATCTTTATATATATATATATATATTTTTTTTTTTTTTTTTTTTTTTTGCTCAACATAATATAAATTATATATATATATATATATATATATATATATATATATATATATATATATATATATATATATATATATATATATATATATATATATATATATATACTCAAATTTACAGTATAACTTATTTAAGTTTCATATTTTTACCTTTCTAATGAAGGGGTCCAAGTTAATAGTAAATGGAAGAAAAACTTTGAGGTCAGAGATGTGTAAAGAACTTTTGTGCATTGATAGGAAGATCTCAAACTTTTTCTCTTCCTTGTCCATCTCCAGTAGTGGCTCCATGTCTTTCGACACTGGAACTTTATTTCTGATTCTGTCCAAAATAAAAATTAAATAATTAAAAATGGTCATAGGAAGTGTGCATGGTCTTATGTACACATCTTTTTCCAGCTGGTTAACAGTTTCGCTAACATGAGCCAGCTACAAACATGCTTGGTTATCTTGAGGTTATCTCGAGATGATTTCGGGGCTTTTAGTGTCCCCGCAGCCCGGTCCTCGACCAGGCCTCCACCTCCAGGAAGCAGCCCGTGACAGCTGACTAACACCCAGGTACCTATTTTACTGCTAGGTAACAGGGGCACGGGGTGAAAAACTCTGCCCATTGTTTTTTGCCGGCGCCTGGTATCGAACCCAGGACCACAAGTCCCGCATGCTGTTTGCTCGGCCGACCTTTTTTTGGCTTGGATGAATGATTTTGGACATCTACTACATACCTCGTCTTATTTACAGCTCATGTTTTGTTCAGAGTTCAGATCGTGGTTTTCTCTGAAAAACAAAATCCATATACTGGCAGCCCAAGTCTGTCCAGAAAAATCCCCTCCTGTGGAATCAAGTGTGAGAGACACTGGGCAGGTTAGCTCCCCCGAACATCTTCCCAATGGTGCACCCAATTGGCTAGGTACCACAACCTCCAAACTTACTGTCCAGTCAGCTGAACCCCTTTTCCTTGCAGCATCTTTCCTATGCAACTGCAACAGCGGTGACACGAATTTCACAAGGAGGGTCCATGGTGGGAACCCTGTTTTGTATATTGTGCTTACACCTGGTGGCAGCCAAAGGGTTGGCTGTGCAGGTCAACTGTAATAACCCAAAAATAACCGAGAGCTATACGCTTGGTGTCCTGTCTTTCCACTTCTCTGTCATATGACACTTTCAAACTACTGATGGTTTTGGCCACTACCACCATCTCACTTAACTTATTCCAATCATTTACCATTGTGCAAAACAACCTTTCTAATGTTTTTGTGGTAGCTGTCTTTCATTAGTTTGAGCCTATGTGCTCTTTAAAAAGTGCAACTTCAAAAACAAGTCTTTTTTTGTTAATTATGTTAATTTATGTAACTATTTTGTAAATGGCGATCCCACTTCTTTTTTCCGTCTTTGGAATATTTATCACTAACCTCTCCTCGTAGCTCTTGTCCTTGAGTTCCGAGAGCCATTTAGTTGCAGGTCTTGACACCTTTTCAAATTTCTGATGTGCGTCTTGAGATATAGGCACCATGTAACTGCTGCATATTCCATCTGTTGTCTCTCAAAAGTCATGAACAGTTCCTTTATTATTCTGCCATCCATGTATTTAAAACCAATTCTAAAATTGGAATGTATAACATACCCTCCTCGCACAATGTTCTTAATGTGATCATCAGGCGACAGTTGGCTATCCAGAACCATTTCTAGATCTCTATCAGAATTCTTTAAAGCTTTTCCACATAATTTGCAGGTTGTGTGGGGCTTATTATTTCCTATTCTACATTACAAAATGTGGCATTTATTTACATTAAATTCTATTTGTCAAATGTTACTCCATACACACATTTTGTCCAGGTCTTCTTTAAGGCATGATAATCCTTTAAGCTTTTCATCTTTACTAGTAGCTTGGCATCATTATCAAACATGTGAATATAATTCTGTATTCCTTCTGGAAAAATGTTTTTACCCGATTTACCTAAGGGCCACTAACCCTAGTGGCCTCAAAGAGGACAGGAAACCAGCAGCTTGGTGAAGGTCCCCCCCATTTGCCTTTATTTTTTCCAGGTATATCGTGACACTCAGCACAGTTTTGGCAGTTACGGCTTCAGCGGGTAGGCAGTTCCATGGGTTAATAACCCTGTGGGTGAAAAAGCATCTCTGTTCTCAGTCCTACATTGTGGCATGTTGAGCTTTAAATCGTTGCGCCTTGTTTGTGTTACATCTGACCTGAAGAAAATATCCAGACCAACATCCTCTAACTTGTTCAGCATTGTAAGAAGTTTCCACAAGATCTGCCCTGTCATGTCTGGTTTGTAGTAATTACTTAAGTAATTACCTAAGTGTAGTTACAGGATGAGAGCTACGCTCGTGGTGTCCCGTCTTCCCAGCACTCTTAAAATATTTGGAGTAGGATGGGGGGATCGAACCAGCGTCTTGGGTAGCCCGAACACGCGTCTTAACCCCATGATCCACGATATTCCTGTTGTTGTTGTTGTTGGCCCTGTGGCCTTCAAGCTTTCCTGATACGAGAGATGACTTAGCTCTGGAATGACTTTTGTTGCTTGGTGTTACACCTTCTTCAGAGCAGCTATGTCCTCCTGAAAATGCTTTGATACAGTAATCCAAATGTTTATATTGTCAATGAACATTACTGGTGCTAGAACTGAACCATGTGGTACAGTACATTACTAGTAACATTGTTTCAGTCTGATACATTGTCTCCGATTACCATCCTCATTTTTCTGTAAGAAAATTATTCATATATGTCCTTAGTCTCCCTGTCACCCCTCCAGTATGTTGCAGTTTCTAGAACAATATCTTATGTGGGGCTCTGTTGAAGGCCTTTTTTAAGTCCAGATAAATGCAGTCAACCCAACCTTCTCTTTTCTGTAAAATCTCAGTGGCTCAATCATAGAAACTAAGATTTGTTACAAACATCTTACTGTTTGAAAACCTCACTTATTACATCAATTTCTCCCCAGGTGTTCTGTCCATTTGATTTTAACTATTTTTTTATACTTTGACTACAATGCTTGTCACTGATACAGGTCTATAATTAAGAGGATCTTTCCTGCTACCATTTTGCTTTTAATGAATTTATAGAATAGGCCTGGTTCTGTTTTACACTTAACTGCAATTCCTTTCTCAAATGTTCTTTCTGCCTCTCTTCTCGGTGCCATGTAATTTCTTGCTTCTTTGTATTTATGGCATGTTTGAGCATTAGGCCCCTTCCTATACCGATTCCTGTATTGTCTTTGGTTCTGGCCCTCTCACAATTTATGTTGAACCAGTTCTGCTTCTCAGTTCTGCTTCTCAGTTCTGCTTCTCAGTTCTGCTTCTCAGTTCTGCTTCTCAGTTCTGCATGAGTCTTTGTGCAAACTTTCTTGTGCCTTCTTCATATATCACACACAATACATTATATATCTCACTAATTACCCATGAGAGCTATGCTCGTGGTGTCCCGTCTTCCCAGCACTCTTTGTACAATAGCAACAATACTCCTTGTGGTTTCTTTGATGCCAAGATTCCCTGGTAGGGCTTCGAGTTTTTAGTTTAAGTCACTCAAGCTGGATGGTTTTTTCCAGTGTTCAATAATACCATGATCATCATTTGGGGACCATTTGAAAAATTTCCCTGTGGTTCTTTGAGTACATGTTAGTTCCTATCAAAATGGAAAATAATTAATTACCTTAGGATGCAGTTAAGTGACTAGCTTTCATTTACAGTATTTACTCAAAACTTATTTTATAACAAAATTACTATTTGAAGGAATTTTCCATAAATACACTTTAAATTAGTGAATCAAAGAGGCATTACATAACAAGCCAGCCAGCATTTGTTATATTAGAACATGTATTTACATGCAAAATTATAAAACTAGGCATTTTATAAATAAATGAAATACATCCTAATTCATCTGCTAAATTGCAAATACTGTAGTCAACATGGTACCTAATTTTGTAGTTTCAAAAACTAAATAACTGGTGATTTGTATTTATGAGCACAGTAGCAAAGAAAAACTGTTCACCCATATACAAGAGTTCTTACATTCTTGTAAAGCCACTAATGCGCACAGAATTTCAGGCAGGTCCTTAATCTTAATTTTCCCCGGAATACAACCCACCAAACTGTTTACCAACCAGGTACCCAATCACTGCTGCGTGAACAGAGGCATACAGTTAAGGACTGGACTCGGCTCAATAACTATCACATGAAAAATAAGATTTTGTAACATGACAAATATGTTGCATAAAGAAAAATCGTGAAACATTCACCAAGATTTGAACATATTTATGTAGCAAGGTCCCAGAGCAAATGTAAACACGCCATGGAAACACTAACTAAAAAAACACATACAAATTCAACTTAATACCTCAAATGAGCAGGAAAATTGAATTAAGTATTCTATTTACACTAAAATCATAAACATACAATATCACAAGTACTTGACACAAGTTGAAAATGCAAATGGTCTAAACTGACTCTTGTAATGAAACATACAGCATCTAAAATGTAGGTAATGACAAAATTAAATGTAAAAAGGCCATACTTTTCATAGAGATCCTTCAAAGAGGTTTTTTCTTCAAGTGTTTCTTCATTGGCTTCATAATATAAGATAAGCCAAGAAGCACGGTAAGGCCACTGCTCGGTGATGTTGATCCATGACGCTAAATGATACCAATTAAAATCTATGTGGAATGCTTTTAATAATCTGTAAACAAAAGAAAAAAGGAAAATTAAGAGTTATACTTAGTGTTTTAATAATTAGCTTAAGTACTAAGATCGATATTCTCATTTATCAATAGATATTATTGATAAATGAGAATTTATAGCGTTTTCATATCTCCGTTACAGTTGGCAATATGAACGTTTTCCCGTCCCATTATTCTATTATTGAAAGCGTTTTTGTGTTACTCACTGTAGCACATGTCATGTGTACAGTACAGTACTGTTATTCTTCGTTATTTGAAATTACCTTATGTTGATACTTATTGTACAGAATGTTGAGCATAAAGTATATTTAACTATGAAGTATGGGGATAGCTTAAATTGTTGATGGATTGAAGAGGAAAGTAGCTTGTTAGTTTGTTGGAAAAAGATTTAAATATTTTTAATTAACCCCTGCACTGCACACCCATTTTGGGCAAAAATTTCATGGTGCAGTTGTTAAGGACACTTTTTTTTTAATATATATAAATGTTCAGCTAATGTTAATGTCAAAATGTTTCCAAACTGAATCATTTTCATTTCAAATCACAAAGAGCAATGAAAACATTAAAAACCTTAAAATATGGCTAATTAAAAAAAAAATCACACAACCCTCGGAGCGCCTTATGGTGCTTTGCACAGTGCAGTGGTTAAAATATTAAAATATTTTTAAATTAAAATATTTTTCCAACAAAAAAAATTGTAGGAAAAAAACATACTTATTTGTTCCAAAAAAATGAATTTGTTGGAATTTAATAAAATATTCAAAATATGAATTTTTTGCAATACCACTAGTCTTCGTCAATGTGAATGACACATGGTATTTTGTAAAGTAATTTTTAAGTATTACTGAATAAAACAATTGTAAAGTAGATTTCTAGCATTTGATACCTGTGTTGGTATCCGTTACCTGTGTAAATTGTTTGACTGAGCATGCTCTTATTTCATGATTAGACATTTTTGTAAAGACCAGGTATTTGTTTCTAATTTACTCCATTTACACTGGTAGAGAAATACTCACTGCAATACCACTAGTCAATCGACTTAAGAATGGTCCAGGACGGACCGAAACGTCGTCGTTCCTTCAATTTCTAGTGTGTGGTCTGGTCAAAAATACTCACTGCCCTTAAGTGCGCTTAACTATTTGAACAACACTGTCGTTCACTATCTTGCAACTCTATCATCGTTAACTCTGTAAACGATCATAATGCAAGTCTGTCCCTTCACCCCTGGTCCTATATTTATCTCAACTGGGCTTTTTATGCCATTTTTTATCTTCCACTCACTTTTCCATTATCTATAAATTAAAATTTATTAACATCATTAAGCTTTTGTTCTGTACAATTCTTTAAGTGTTGTTCATCCCATGCACATACCCCACTCGTAAAGATAAAGGCTTGAGGGACTAGGCAGTCATGCATTCCTTTCTTTATAGGAATAATTGTTTAATGTAACCCATCCCTAGTATAAGATATATCTCCCTGACACTACACTCCTTACTCCACTCTAAGTTTGTTATGCCACATATGGCCACAGCCATGTCTCGCTACCTCATTGTCTACCTGACTGCTTGTCTATATGTCGTCCATGCGGTTTTCGTACCCAGGTACTAATTGAGCCATTAAAGCAACACGTATCATGAACTTCCTCTAAGTTTGATTCCTGGGCTGGATGAAACATTCAGGCACTTTCCCCACATCTGATGACTCGGTTCATCTAAAAGTAAATTTTGCCTAGGAGTTAGGCAACTGTTGTGGATTGACCAACCTTAGGAAGGTTGGTCATTGGCCTATGGGAACCTTAATAGACCTAACAAGCTTCCAGCCCCTAACAATGTTTAACCATGTCTATCAAAACATTATCAGCATACAATCATTTCCTGTACTCGTTCAATCACTATCCAGCTATACACTTAGGCCATTACATATTAGCAGATTATAATGCCTTTACATTGCTGAGCAACACAATTGAACCATGTTCAAGTGACTGAAACCAGTATGCTTTAGGCTTTCCATGTTGGACTCTTTTTAGTCCCTATAGGCCAACACCAGGCCTTATGGAGAATGCCACCAACAACTGTTGTCCAACTCCTAAGTACTGCTTGGTGAACAAAAGCATCAGGCTAAGGAAAACCCTGCCTAAATGTTCCTGTCCTGCAGCAGGTAGCAAACCTAGGACCCTTTGGTTGTGACAATTTCAATGAACACTGCACTGTGCAAAATAACGGCAGAACTATAGCCGTGAAGGGTTGCATGTTTCCCAGCCCACAACTTTACTTAATTATAAAAATTAAATAAATTGGCATGTTCACAGAATATTTATACTGTGAACAAATATTGTCAATATTTGTTCACAGTATATATATATAAACTGATGTTTTCACTGCAATTTTTGAATCAAAATATGGAAAAAGCTTGTTTTACCATTTGCACAGTATCATAATTTTGGTCAAAAATAGCTATGAATGGAAGTCTGGATGTAAAGATAAGGGACCAGAAAAAAATAGTTTTGCCCAAGCAGGATTCTACTTTACATGCAAAGCAATTTCATCCCACAGATACTGTCTCCTCTTGCTAATCCTTGAATAGTGTGCCAGACAGACAGTAATTCAACACTTTTCTGACAACTTTCATTTTTAATCCTTCAAGAAGGATTGACAAAGATATATTATTACAAGAATCTCTCTAGGAAGGAGATTGGGCCTGTTCCATCATCATCAATTCTACCACATCATGTATGCCTATTCAAGAATCAAGAGCAACAACTACTATAGTGCTCTGTAGTCTAGACAGAGCCACCCTACCTATCCCTACTTTTTTTTTTTGTGCACCTTGCATTCCATCTGCCCTAAGCCACTGCTCTTAGTCATTTTACTGTCACATATATACATAAATATATATATATATATACTGTATATATACTGTATATATATATATACTGTATATATATATATATACTGAATACAGTATATTGGATAATCTATTTTCTTTTTCTTGTGGCTTTTCACTAATGATATTTGAACATGCCACTTCAATGTCGCTCCATAAAATGTTAAGTTCATTCCGTAAAGCAGAACAAACTCAACTCTTTCCTTTATAAATATTAGTATACCAATTATGTAATTCAAGATACTTTTAACTTGCAACATATTTCTGTACTTTTATTGACAAAGATCCTGAGAATAATTCCCCCCTTTTTTTTTTATAAGACTGTAAATTTATATTATAATTTTGTTGCAAGCATAGATATATACAAGTATTGTAGGTTTCATTTGTATATAACTGGCAACTCAGCCACAGACGAGTGATCTTATAGGCAGCAAACTTAACCAATACAAATATCCAAGAACTTCCAAGTGGACATACCTTCCAGTGATGTACACAACGTTCATTAATCTTCTCATTGACCGAGGATTTATATCGCTAAAATAATCGTCAGTTAATAAGACCTGAAAAGTAAAATTGTCAGGTATCAAGTTCTGAAAATATAAACTCATCAATTCTTTAGTCTACCGGTAACTATAACCCACATAGTGCAAGATTGTTAAAAGTACATCAAAATATTCTTCAAATATAAATACAGTAATGGGAAACAAAAGATTCCTACTGGACTAATATGGTATTTAATTCAAGGAATGGTTAAACAGAAAATTTCTACCAATATCTAACTGAAATAGTATTAATCATTGGTTTAATATAAAGCAAACAAAGCCGAAAGTCTGCTTACCTTCGTGAGGTCTTGCGCTCCCCCTACTCTGTTAAGATTGGACCCTATGCTGGAGGCAATGGAATCTGAAGGCTTAAGAGTCCTGCGGCTACTTTTACTGTTGTTGCGTCTCAAGTTCTGAGAAGAACTTAGTCCGCTCTCAGAAGACATTCGACGATTAGCAGGGATCTGATAAAATATAAATGGATTCTAAAAGTGAACAACAGTGACACGTGCAGATAAACACACACACACACACATTCAGGTACTGAGTACACACACACACACACACACAGCATTTATATATTGATGATAAAGACACAGACAACAAAGACTGTTTATTATTTAAAAAAAAAAAAAAGTCATAAGTAAGAGTATAGAGAGATTGTGTAGAAGTGTGTCAACAGAGCAACTATAATCAGGAGTAAATGACTCAGTCAGCCAAGAACTTAACATCTCACGCACACCAACAGCACACATGCCCTCACCAATTATATGCATCTTTTTAAGCAAATTTCAAGCATAAATATTGGAATTCAGATAAAATATAAAATGTCTAAAAGGAAACTTTTAAGATAATCAATATATGATGGAGCAAAGCAAATATAAGCTATAGCTCAAAGCAGCAGAGCTGGAAAACTGTTCATTAGCTTTTGTGCTTAAAACTGATATGTAGGCAAAATTTATGTAAACAGTAGAGAGAATATGGGTGCAGATTTGTGAAGGTGGTAATACTCATGAATATTCAAGACTTACTAAGCTGACATGACACAATAGTCAAATTAATAACTTAAAATATGTTATACCCTGTATATTTTTGTGTGTTAATAAATTCCATCTTGCCCAACTACCCCATTAGCTACGGGACAAAGACTACTGTTGGATGCTCTGTCATTACCTGTTATTTCATTTTAAAGGACCAGTACAGAAATTAACGAGAGGAAGTACATGGAGAACTTCCACCAACATAGCTATTAATAATGAAAGCTACATGACAAAGCTGTTAGAGACAGGACAGGAAGACTGTTAGAATTATGGCAAAATTAATGAATTTCAAGAAAATGGTTTCCATGTAATGCATTTGTAGCGCATCAACACTAAGCAATGTACTCAAAACATATTTAAACAAGATAAACACTTGTATTTACATTAGAAGACAAGCTCTGTGTTCTTGCAAGAGAAAATACAATAATAAAATTTTATTATTATAAATATTATTTATATTTTTTATATTATTATATTTATATTATATTTATATTATTATATTATTATATTTAAATATTAAAAGAGCAAAAGATTGACAATACTTTGAGTGCATTGAACAACTGAATAATTAACTAAAGTGTGGAAATGCAATGTTTGAAATGCATTACAGTATAGCACAAATATTTGTTTATGTAGTAAAGACATACAAGTAAACAAAGCACATTAACAAAACGTAACTAATTTTGATTTTTAAAAGATGGGAGAGAGAGATACAAGAAACCAGTCCAAGATGGGACAGAGGAGAGGGACACAGGAACAGGCAGGGGATAAGAGGATACTTACATGCAAACTGAATCCGCTTTCAGATGATAGACACTGTTTTAATGGTATCTGAAGGGATTAAGGGGTTTAAACAAACTCATAACTTAGGAGAACAAAACACGGGAATTTACATAAACCAATGGAATTTACATAAAAGAAAATGAAATATATATATATGTATGAAGGCAAGGAATTTATACAAAATGAAAGGCATTTACATAAAACAAACTGATAAAAGAAAGTATGATGCAGTATTCCTTTAGGAAGCAGAAAATGAGGTAATAGCTTGTCTAAATTTGTCTATTGTATGCCTGGTTGATCAGTCCAGCAACCAGAAGGCCTGGTCGATGCCCGGGCCGCGGGGACACTAAGCCCCGGAAGCACCTCAAGGTATGCTTTATTAAGTTCATATATTTTGTCAGCAGTCATTCTTCAAGACATGGATTATTGAATATGATCTAAAGGGTTTGATCAATGATTGTAGCATCAATCGTCTATATTTCTTATTATGTTCTTTACTTGGGAAGGATTAAAAATTATCTCTACCAAGTTCCCCAATTTTATTGGGCTCGGTGAGTGTTGCTAAATTCACTTTGCTGAAGCACTTTTTTTTTTTAACATCTTCAGAGGCAGAGGAAAGGTGAATATAATGTTTAATATGTAGTGTTCCACTATATCTAATCAACTAGTGTCATTGTACAACCCGTTCTCGCAAATTTAACAAGTCAATATTGACTTATTAAATATGTGCATAGGTGACATACTTAACATAATAGATACCCTTAAAAAGATTCATAGAAAACACCGACCTTACCTAACCTTGTTAGTATCTTAAGATAAGCATCTTATTGCTTCGTAATTACAATTATTACCTAACCTATACTAGGTATAGGTTAAGTAATAATTGTAATTACGAAGCAATAAGATGCTTATCTTAAGATACTAACAAGGTTAGGTAAGGTCGGTGTTTTCTATGAATCTTTTTAAGGGTATCTATTATGTTTAGTGTATCACCTATGCACGTAGTTAATAAGCCAATATTGACTTTACGAATTTGCGAGAAAGGGTTGCATTGTATCTCTCAATTATTTCAGTGTTGCTGGTCAGGATACGTCTGGTGGTGGTCTGTGTGTGTGTAGAAAATCAGTGATCCTTCATTATATCACATTTGAGCACTGTCACATCATCAAATCAAATGGTAATGCTAGCTTGAAAAAAATACTCAATAGATGCATGGGATAAAGGTGTTGATAAAAAATTTAATCCTGCAAGTGCTAGCCCAAAATAATTTTTCTTTATAAGTTAAATGTGTACATACTTTTCAGGTGTAATTTTGATGAATGGAAAGATCAATCAAATGTAACAATGGTGTCACATATAAACACCAAATATGTATAATAATACTTAAAGTTACCCAGGATGTTTTTGGAGTAATTTTTACCCAATTTACCCAAAGTGTAATTACTGAGATAAGCTACAGGGTGAGAGCTACACTCATTGTGTCCCGTCTTCCCAGCATTATAACGCTTTGAAATTACTGATGGTTTTGGCATCCACCACCATCTTGCTTAGCATGTTCCAACTGTCTACCATTGTTTGCTCAAGTGAATTTTCTTACATTTCTTTGGCAGCTTTGTTAATTTATATCTATGACCTCTTGCTTTTGAAGTTCCAGGTCTCAGGAATTCTTCCCTATCAATTATTTTTAGATTCCCGTTACTATTTTGTACATAGTGATCATATCGCCTATTTTTTCTTCTGTCTTTGAGTAATGTGTTAATCCATGTGAAACATTTATCAGTTGCTACTATGCTGTCATAATATATCACCTACTGTACTGTACCTATAAATCTGCTTCATAAAGAACATATACTGTACAAAACTACTCAAACATACCCATATAGCATGGAAACTAAGAAATTTAAGCACTAATAAAATAGCCTACAGTGCAATCAAGAAATGATTGACAGGCATGATGGGTATACTATACAAAAGAAATGAAAATGATAAGAGACATAATTACAACTACCACAAATGCACTGACACACACAATACAAATGCACATTCTAGAAAGGGGTCGGTAAGAACACTGAACTTGTAGATATACCTGAACAAACTTTCTAGGACTATCGATAACAGATCACTCAAGTACAGTACGTAATGTTCACAAGAATGATTAAATAAAATCTGTTGTATAAGGGGGGTTTATTTGTTATTTCAAAGGTTCCATAAAATACAGACCTCTTCCTTGTTAGCCACACATTTGAAACTCAAATAGTCAATAAAAAAAGGTTTCAAGTTAGTACAATATTTTAAACAGCAGCTTCCTGAGCATTATCTTCAGTCGCTCCCTATGACAAGATCCGACTGGGACCAAAAGAACAGGATATATACAGTCATTGGTGCAGCATCGCACTGCACCAACACTAACAGTGCTAGAAAGCACTGGAGAGCATTCATTCCAGCAAGACCAAACACACCTCATTACCACATTTCCCCCCCCCAAGGAACCGAGGAACAATTTCTGGCCTCCAACCCAACTCTCATATGTGACTTGACAGACTAAACTATTACGATCCACTGCTAAAGAAAATACTGCAGGTGCTTAAGAAACAAAAGTGCCACTATGGGAGGTAGAGACCTAGAAATGGTACATAGTAATGAGAATCAATAAAACTTATAGGGAAGAATTCCTGAGACCTGGAACTTCAAGAACAAGAGGTCATAGATTTAAACTAAACAAAGCTGTCAAAGAAATACAAGAAAATTCACTTTTGCAAACAGAGTGGTCAATAGTTGGAACAAGTTAGTTGAGAAAGTGGTGGAGGGCAAAATCTTCGGTAGTTTCAAAGTGTTACAAGGCAGAATGCTGGGAAGACAGGACACCATTATATGGATGGTGAAATACTAAAGAAACTGTTCATTACTTTTGTGAGACCAAAACTGGAATATGTAGCAGTTGCATGGTGCCCAAATCCCAAGCAGCATGTAAATAAATTGGAAAAGGTGCAACGGCATGCTACAAAATGGTTTCCGGAACTGATAAACACGAGTTACCAGGAGAGAATGGAGGCGTTAAACATGCCAAAACTAGAAGATACAAGAAAAAGAGGAGATATGATCAACACTAGTAAATACTAACAGAAATCGACCAAACTGACAAAGGGGAATTCCTGAAACCAGCAATTTCACGAACGAGAAGACACAGATTCAAGCTAAGGAAACCAAGGTGCCGAAAAAACACTAGAAAGTTTTCCTTTGCAAAGAGTGGTAGACGGTTGAAACAAGCTAAGCGAGACGGTGGTGGAGGTCAAAATTGCAGTAGTTTCAAAACACTATGTGACAAAAGCATTCTGGGAAGACAGGACACTACAAGCGTAGCTCTCTTCCTGTAACTACACTTAGGTAATCACTGTTCATCTGGCAAGTGAAATGGACAAAAATGTCCACCTCGGCTTTAAAAATAGGGAATACCAAAGGGACTTCACATATCCCAGGAACAGAGTGCTAGAGACAAAGCTTATAATTTTACAGCAGCCTGAAAGTCGCTTGTCTACTAGGAAGTAGAAACAAGGTCAACAAAGCAATACAGGCAAGCCAGAGGGGAAAAATTACGCTGTACCCAACAGGGAAAATGCTGGAGGCAAGAGAAATGTCTACCACAATCAAATTATTCTGCAAGGCATTCCTCACTATAAACCAGGCTGAGTTATGCCAATCTCCATAATGGGTTACTATACAATTCCAATAGAACCAGAACTTGAATAGAACTTGAATCCATAATGACACATGAAAAGAAAAGACTGGCTGTCAAAGCTTTCAACAAGTAGCTACAGCTAATTAATCGCTGCTGAACAGACTCGCCAGCTATGCCCTCCTCGCCAGCCCTCTGTAGCAACCAGGGGCCAGATTCACGAAAGCACTTACGCAAGCACTTACGAACGTGTACATCTTTCCTCAATCTTTAACGGCTTTGGTTACATTTATTAAACAGTTTACAAGCATGAAAACTTCCCATTCAACTGTTGATATTGTTATAAACAGCCTCCTGGTGCTTCGGAGCTTATTAACTGTTTAATAATTGTAAACAAAGCCGCCAAAGATTGAGAAAAGATGCACAGGTTCGTAAGTGCTTGCGTAACTTCTTCTTGAATCTGGCCCCAGACTGAAAATAGATCAGCATAAACCTGCAAGGCAATCCAGCACACTATTATTATTATCAAATGGTTAACCCAACAATGAAAGGCAAACTAAGCCCATTACCCCAAAAGAAATCCAAGAAATAGTGATATGAGCCTCAGCCAATGGAGCAGCTTGGGAGGATAAACAGTGTCTCTGCACAAAGGTTTATGATCAAAGGATATAACCAAAGCACCCATACGTGTCATAATAATTCAGGATATTGACTACCTTTTTACCTAGTCAGGATACCTAGTCAGGATACCTAGTCAGGATATTGACTAGGGAGCCGGTCGGCCGAGCGGACAGCACACTGGACTTGTGATCCTGTGGTCCTGGGTTCAATCCCAGGCGCCGGCGAGAAACCATGGGCAGAGTTTCTTTCACCCTATGCCCTTGTTACCTAGCAGTAAAATAGGTACCTGGGTGTTAGTCAGCTGTCACAGGCTGCTTCCTGGGGGTGGAGGCCTGGTCGAGGACCGGGCCGCAGGGACACTAAAGCCCCGAAATCATCTCATCTCAAGATAACCTTTGTCAATGCTCTACCATGAGTGAATGATACAAAAAACTAAGTCCAACTATGGTTTGTACCCTACTGCCAAACCCGAAGAAAGCTGCACAATAGTACAATTCAAGGAGTGCACAATTCACCTGAATGCTGCACTTGTGAAAGTATTATCTTAAGTGCTCTGCACAAAAATTAAATTTAACGGATGTTACAACTTTAATCCAGTTCCTGGCTAGCTGAAAATCTTCACACGAGCTCAGTCAGGAGGAGTGAAACTGAATCGGACAAAGGATAACATTATTTTGTATTCGTTGCTACCTAGTAGCATTCAATAGTGGCTTATTAAGGATTTGGGGTATTGGTAGTTATCAGAACACAACTTGGCAATCCTGTTTGATAAAAGTCTTGGAGGGGTTTTAAGCCCTTAAGAGATTTTGCTATGAAGGGTCTCAGTGCAATGTTTCCCTGCCCTGCCATTGTGAATCTGTCCTTTAGTCGGTCGGCCGAGCGGACAGCACGCTGGACTTGTGATCCTGTGGTCCTGGGTTCGATCCCAGGCGCCGGCGAGAAACAATGAGCAGAGTTTCTTTCACCCTATGCCCCTGTTACCTAGCAGTAAAATAGGTACCTGGGTGTTAGTCAGCTGTCACGGGCTGCTTCCTGGGGGTGGAGGCCTGGTCGAGGACCGGGCCGCGGGGACAAAATCATCAGCCCCAAAATCATCAAGATAACCTCAAGATAGACCCAGTCACATTTTACCATAGGGAGCATCAGATAGGATCAGCTTAGAAAGACCGTCTTAAACCAAGATATGAGTCCAGTGTGGGCCAACACAGCACATTCACCCTCCTCATTACAAATAATCATTAAAAGTTTAGAAAGTATTAATACAATGATTTATAGCATGTCAACAGCAACTATGTTGCCTTTGAAGAATTAATCATGCATTTTTTTTTCACCTTTCTTCCAGTTATTTATTTTCATGTCTTTCTTTATCCCATGTACTTTATATAGCAGCTATTAAAATGTGGCATTGCACCACAGTCCACATTTTTGTAATGTAAGGATGCAGAATAAAATTTGCGGCTTAATTTCTTATGCAACCACTAAATAAAGTGGTCCCTCGTGCAGGCTTGTTAATCTCACTCATACCCGAGCTCTCCAAGCACCCATGACGTCTCTTTCCAATACAGAGTTCCTCTTCATATTACAGGACTGCTACTTTCATTTAGCCAGCATGGTTAACACTGATTTTGAATACTTACAAACTTAACCTCTTACTCAAACACTCAAACTACCATTACTCTCATAGTAATCTTTGACATCTTTTACGCAACTATACATTATCCTTTCATACACTGAACAGAAATAAGTCTTCAAATAAACTATCCATCATCGCTGCTTTATTGATGTGCTCTCAGTTGCTGAACCTTCAGCCTTAGGTATAACTACAGTAAACTAAACAATAGCAAGAGCTACAGTCACAGTTGCTAAACCTTCAGCCTTAGGTATAACTACAGTAAACTAAACAATAGCAAGAGCTACAGTCACAGTTGCTAAACCTTCAGCCTTAGGTATAACTACAGTAAACTAAACAATAGCAAGAGCTACAGTCAATCATACTAAACACATTCAGTGCAGCTACTATTGTACTCTAATTGTTATTTACATAACCTGTATGGATATACCAGACATGACTTACATGACTGATGCCACCCATGGCTGAAGTGGTAGCAATGCTGACTGAATCCGTCTCCACCTCCAGCCACGTGTTTTGTAACCGCCCTCTCATTCGTTCTGCCGCCTGTAATCAACACAAGTACTGTATAATTTAAAGAGTTACGAACTGTAATTAATCCATAAACTTAATTTCTATTTTTAGATAAGAAATGCCTAAAATATTACTGATTAAAGCATTACCCTTTTATATGGCAAGTAGTAAATTATGACAGCAATTATTGCATAAGAAATGAGCAGTGATGAAGTATTTTTTTTTTTACAATTTTAACGGCACACAGTTCTTTGAATGGCAAGTTTATAATTGTTGATTTCTTGTACAAAATTTGAAAAATTCTGCATTAGGCAAACAGTTTCAACAAAAAAATTACACATATTATGAATCTAAGTCCTTGGCTATAGATACATATTTGACCACTGATTTTACTGGATAATTTTAATTTACATAATACTGTACAATTGTGACTATGGAAAGTGAATATTGAATAGTAGTTAACTGAATATTGTTAGCAGCCTGGAAGATTGTCAATACATTTTATTTCTATTTTCACATACAGTATACTCTTCAATCCGTCCTTGTGGAAAATATGATATAAATTATGAAGTTAATGGTATTAAAAGTGCAACATTATTTAAGACTAGCAATTTTTTAGCATGCCATTTAAAAACCATCCTTTCATGAGAAAGGAAGTTTTAAATGTTTTGTAATTTTTGCAAATAATTTTTTATAGTTTCTGTAATATACCCCATATATAAAATGTATTACAAAAACTAAATTACAAGATCACATACCTGTTGAGCTTGCTTCACTTTACGAAGTCCTGAATTTTGAAGATAAAAGGGCAAGTGGACAATATTTCTTAGGTAGTCATGACCACTTATGGACGACTCGCTGAATACCCGATGAACGTGAAGCTCTATAGCCTAGTAAAGGAGAGGAACATCTTCACTGTCAACCAGAACTCTGCTTGGTACAAACACAGGCCAGAGTCACTGTCGCCAAAACGAAACTAATGCTCAGTAAACACATCTAAATCGGAGTTTAGGCATCAAACTGGAGAATAAGTCCCACCTGATATACTATACTATTACGTTTACTTCTGAAATGCATCTGTAAGGTCCTTAGGTAATTTATTATAGCTTACTGATGAATGATTAAAGTCAATTAGAAAAGAAAACGTGCTCATCCAAAATTCGGCCCATTGTTACACAAAAGTAGGCAAGAGAAAAGTTCACAGTTCCTGATTAATTTAGGCAGCGGGTGAAATACACTCCTGAAAGAATAGATGCCTTAACATATCTGCACTTTCCCAACTCTGTTCATGAAAAGGTTAATCTTATAATTACTTTTATTTTAATATTCTTATTAGGAATATTAAACTTGGTGTTCTCCAGTAATATTTGTTCTAATTTTAACCTAGACTTTAAAATATGGAAAAGTAATGAGTGCAATAAGAATGACTGCACCATTTAAGCACTTTACATTAATTCTTAGTATTGGTTATTAATTATTGGTTAACAAATATGAAGCAGAAAGATAAGTACAATACTGTACAGACTTAATGTGGTGAATTAATGCACAGTGAGCAAGGATGCCAGGACTGCACAAATGTAACACGATTTATATTGAAATTTTCATTGATTAAACAAAGATATGAAATAAGCAAGAGAAGACATGCATATATACTGTATAATATATATATATATATATATATACACACACACACACATTAACAATGTTAACCTCATTTAACCAGACCTAGCTAACCGAATATAGTACATAGTAACGGAAAAAAATGTATTATTACAAAGTACTAAAGTCGTACAAAAGACAATCAAGCAGAAGGAAATACTGTACAGCAGTTAAAATAAAAAAATACAAGTTTTACGAACAAAAAATTTGGATTAGCTGAGAGAGAGAGAGAGAGAGAGAGAAAGAAAGAGAAGGTTGAGAGAGAAAGAGAGAGAGAGAAAGGGAAAGAGAAAAGAAAGAAAGTGAGAGCAAGAAAGAGAGAGAGAAAGAGACAAACTCCTTACAATTTTCAAGGTCAATACAGCCACATCATGCACAACAATCATATTTGACAACACAGAGGCTAAATTATAATTTGAATAAAAGTAATTTTCTAATGGAATGCCACGTACTAATTTGAATTGATCATAGTGCAGCAGTTCACATTAATCATACTGTATTTAACAATTTAAAACATTAGCATTTAAATGTTTACGAGAAACATTTTCAGCTTACTAAATTACCTGCCGGTACTAAATAGTGCAATAACTATCTAATGTCTGGTATGTTGTACAAACATTTACATTTTCTTCATTGAATAACAATTTTAACTACATTAAATTACCAGGTACTGTATATACAAAACTACTGTATTTGCCTTATTAATCTTAACTTGAATAACTTAATTGGTTGAGCTTCAATTAATTTCACATGGTTTCCTCAATTACTAGAAACAATCGATTCTAATTAAATGTTAAATTTAGCCTTTGTATTGCAACAAAGTCTACATTGTAATCATTCCCAATAAAGTTACAAAGAACTATGGACTAAAAGTCTACTACAGCACTGTACAGGTACACGAACATTCCTGCCAGATGCACAGGTCCCCGCCACTGTCTACACAACAAGGGTAAGGTCTGCCACTAACATATATATATATACAATGTGTGCGATATCTCTGTACCTTCTGCTGTCTCGAGGCTACCACAGCCTACAGGCAGCAGCATTAATAAATAGGCTTTGCATTAGGTCTCAAGAGAATATTAATCTTATTAAAGAGCTCCTAGCTTATTAGAATTTTGAAGATGGTATTAACAAAAAAAAAAGGGTCGAATCCCACCCAACTCCCTCCCCAACATGCACACAGTATATAAACATTTCACTCCATTTATTTGCAACCCTCCTGTTAACTACACACAGCTCCAATATCTTTAGAAGGGCCTAAACTTTGTTGGCCAGTACTATTTTGCCCCACACACACACACTAGTCAACTTACTAATGTATTAATTGGGACAAGTCCCGAAAAACACATTCATTGCACGTAGATCAAACTGAGGATGTACGGATATATTCTAAGTCATGTTACATGCATTTTATCTTCTTTTGCACTCCTTAATTGAGAGGATTATACAGTATATCAATGTGAGATAAACATTTCAAAGACTGGTATTGTGATCCAGTTGCATAAAAACAATGACAAATGGAAAGTCATTAATTAAAGCCACTCAATGAAATAATTACAAAATACACAGATGTATTGATATCACGGAATATTACTAAAAACTCGTCATTTATAGTACCATTGTATTAATTACAAAATATCAAGACTTCCAACAGCTGAAAACAATATTAATTTGAAAATCTTGATATGAAACCTGAATTTGACAAAATACTGTAGCTTGAGACATTAAGAAATTGGAGGCATATAATATATAAACATTACAGGTACTCACTTTAGTTATGATGTGAGGATCAATGGCAAGAAGAATGATGAAGGGTGCAGAAGAATCTGTAAAGAGTGTGTGGACAGCATCAAGGACCGAGAGCACCTTCTCCTGCTCACAGCTGTCCAAGCCATCCACAACGACCACGAGACGTGTTTGCTGGGCCGTGAAGGCATCCAGGCACTTTACCTATTATGCCACAAAGTTGAATACAACAAGTTAATATTCTATACATTTGGGAAACGTAATGGGGCAATCTGATAATAAAAAATAAAGCTCATTATTAGTTAAAAATAAAACTGATCCATTAAAGTTATTATACATAAAAAATTTAAGCCAGAAAACCACGTCTTGCAGAGATCTTTCGTGTTTAGGAAAACACTGATGTATTAGTATAAATAATGATATAAATTTGTTAAATGAAATGAAACAAGATTATTTCAAGGCCTGGACCACACACAAAGATCATTAAAAAACAGCTTTCATTATTTTTTGCCCTTAACATTAGCATGAGCAGATATGAACAAAATTTATAATTTAAAAACTATGCTTCATTATTCAAGAAAGACAACATGGGAACTTTAAACTGATATAAAAGATACGATTGGATACTCTCCTTAATATATTAAGTGTGTACCGTTAAATTTGAGCAGGGAAGGAAATGCAAGTCTCGAGAGCAAAACAGTCTCACCTGTTTAGATGCCAGATATCTATTATTTATGGTACAGTACTTATAATACAAACTATCATCTTCACACCATATTATGAGCCTAACCTAGGTAGTAATTTATCCTACTTAACACCTTATATCCTAACAGGTACCATTACAAAACAAGAAAGGTCGACAACATGCACATTACAGCCACTGGTTTTCGGCAAAGTTTGCCAACAAGTATTCTGGTGAATAACATTTATCATTTACTTACCATTTCCACCATGAGATTAACTTCATTCTTGAGCGTGTGTAAATAACCTTCAGCTTTAATTGTGTCAAGCTTAGCTACAGCACGGAGGAGATGGCGGCGGTGAGAGAATATGAGCGAGCCAACCATACGTGCCAAGGTGTGTAAGTTAGCCACCACTACAACGGCTACTAATACACCCAAAGTGATCAGTAATGGATTCATTAACGCTCCATGGTATGGCCTTCTGGAGGAAGGACAATTATGTTGTTAATATACATTACTGCAATACATAACCATCAGAAAATATGCTTTTCTTTGTTTAAACATAATGTGGATTGTGCTTTAAAAGAAAACTAGGCATTAAAAAGAAAAAAAGAAAGCATTCTAAGGAGTTACTCTAGATACTTACAAATCGATATACTCGCTCTCTTCACTGGACTCTCCACTGATGTCGTCATCATCGTCATCGTCCTCCTCCTCCTCCTCTACTGGGTGTTCCATTCCAGGCACATTCATTCCTGGCTCTTCCTCCTCAACCAGAGTCTCCGGATGAAAGCCAAAGAGTCCCGTAATAACTCCCACCGTCAGCAGGCAAATCAGAGTAACAAAAAAGATGGCAATGTATGGAATGCCACAGAGACGCCGGTACTTCCAAGGAGATGATGAGCCCTCTGTTAAATTGGAATTACTTTAAGCATATGCTTTTACACCTTCAAAAGTTCAATATAAATTTCATTATCAGTCATATTAATGCAGATAAGATAAGCACTCACGAGCTTTGGGTCGAAAGGCTCTGTAGAACCTAGTGGCAAACATGCCATATTCTCTCTCTACCATGTCAAAGAGAGAACCCAGCATCTGAACAACAGAGTTTTCTCCTGCAGCTGTGCTGCTGGGCTTAGCGCCTTCAGCAAAGATGAACCTACATCAAGAATTGAATGTCAGTGTTACATAAATTGTATCCTATCTCAGGTCAATGCCACAATGATAAAGAATTGAGTAATATACAACATTTATGCATGTTTTTGTATATTTAAATTATTATGTGCCCCATACCCATCCTGTGGGTGGTAGTGTAAAAAATTAGAATGGCACATAATGGACTCGGAAGGTTAACCCCAAAATTCCTTAAATTAAGTAAATTACAGCCTTGATAAGCTAGTTACACAGTTTTATATTTATATCCAACTGATTTTTTATAGTTTAATGGGTTCAAGAACTGGGCCATAACAATCTCAATATTTCAGTTCTGGGAAGGTTAGTCTCATTCAGTATATTCACCTTCATAACATGGTCTAATTACCCCTCACATTAATGGAGCTTTGAAGTAAATATTAAATTCTAGCACATTATTCACAAAGCCTCTACTTGTCACACGCAACTCATCCTTCAAATTACGGGCTCACCATAGCCCGTGCTACTTGGAACTGCTTGTTCCAAGTAGTGAATCTCTAACAACAACATCCTTCAAATAATCAAGACTTCTGGTGGCAAAGTTTCTGGATGATCAAGATTTTTAAAATACTGTATAGCGATCCAAAGTAGATTCCACCATACACTTATGATCTAATAATTTGAGAGTAAAGGAACATGAGGGAGTCCTGCATCTGGTAGCAGTTTCAGAAGTGAACCGACTTCAACTACTCACTTGAGTGGTCTAGCCTGCACACCGTCTTTCCACTCCTTCCACTGTGTTCCAGGTGGTGAGCAGAAGATGACTTGCAACACCAGCTTGAAGGCTGCCATATGTTTTTCTAGCGACACACTCCATTTATACCATATGTGCAGGTCATACCTGGGTAATAAAGATGTTCATGTTAGTAACTAGATTCCTCTACAGGACAATACTTTTGTTTGTGTATATATATAACAAAAATATGGAATATGTAACTAGGTTAACACTAAGTATTTGTGCCTATTTAACCTGCAAATGGGTCCAAACACTATCTGCAATTACTGTACCTCCTGTGCTCAAATTGCTATAAGCAATTGATTCTTATGGATTACACTAACTTTATTTTTAACCTGGCAAGCAAGTTATTTCTGGATTGCTTATGCATCAAAGTACAGAAAAATGGCTATTATTCCCCTTAAACTTTGCTTTGACCTTTGCTTCAGATAGCTGAGCGAAGACGTCTTGAAGGTATTCGAGGGCTGCCGATTTAGCAAGAGAAGCTAACATATGTGAAAATGTTTAATATAACAAATGATGTAAAATATAAAAGGTGATAATGATGACGGGTGTGGAGTATTATAGTATGCAATCTGTAGTTCCAGCAGCAGTACAGAAATAGTTTTTAATATTAATAACAGCAAGAAAATACAAAGGCGCAACTTATTAAGCTACTAGAAGATAACAGTAAATCGGTAAAATTTCAAAGTTTATTGGTGTAAACACTTAAAAATTAACAAGAAAACATATAGGACGTGAGTAGGCAATATTACTTATGGTATTTATTTGTTTATATATTTATTTATTTACAAGACAGTACATTGGGTTTGTTTGATTACAAAACATTGGTGTTTTTACAGTCTTGTAAAGCCATTAACATGCATAGCATTTTGGGCAGGTCGTTAACCTGACAGATCAGATAAGATGAATGGCTGTATTGTAGCAAAATTTGATTTCAACATTATAATATAAATTGACGGATGTAATTACTTTGGTGAAGATGCACGTCTTGAGGACTAATACTGGGGGAATGGGTAGCACAAGAAACAGTACTAGTTTGAAGCACAAGGCTGGAAACTATGAGAATGAAATTTGGTATTTTTTAGTTTTACTTTTGAATAAGGTCTAGGTTGGGCAATTTTTTTTTAGTTCATTAGGGAGCAAGTTCCATAGGGTCCTTTTATTTGCACGAGTGTTTGCACAGATTCAGTTTGACTCTGGGGATTTGACTCTGGGGATTTGACTCTGGGGATTTGACTCTGGGGATTTGACTCTGGGGATTTGACTCTGGGGATTTGACTCTGGGGATTTGACTCTGGGGATTTGACTCTGGGGATTTGACTCTGGGGATTTGACTCTGGGGATTTGACTCTGGGGATTTGACTCTGGGGATTTGACTCTGGGGATTTGACTCTGGGGATTTGACTCTGGGGATTTGACTCTGGGGATTTGACTCTGGGGATTTGACTCTGGGGATTTGACTCTGGGGATTTGACTCTGGGGATTTGACTCTGGGGATTTGACTCTGGGGATTTGACTCTGGGGATTTGACTCTGGGGATTTGACTCTGGGGATTTGACTCTGGGGATTTGACTCTGGGGATTTGACTCTGGGGATTTGACTCTGGGGATTTGACTCTGGGGATCTGGGGATTTGACTCTGGGGATTTGACTCTGGGGATTTGACTCTGGGGATTTGACTCTGGGGATTTGACTCTGGGGATTTGACTCTGGGGATTTGACTCTGGGGATTTGACTCTGGGGATTTGACTCTGGGGATTTGACTCTGGGGATTTGACTCTGGGGATTTGACTCTGGGGATTTGACTCTGGGGATTTGACTCTGGGGATTTGACTCTGGGGATTTGACTCTGGGGATTTGACTCTGGGGATTTGACTCTGGGGATTTGACTCTGGGGATTTGACTCTGGGGATTTGACTCTGGGGATTTGACTCTGGGGATTTGACTCTGGGGATTTGACTCTGGGGATTTGACTCTGGGGATTTGACTCTGGGGATTTGACTCTGGGGATTTGACTCTGGGGATTTGACTCTGGGGATTTGACTCTGGGGATTTGACTCTGGGGATTTGACTCTGGGGATTTGACTCTGGGGATTTGACTCTGGGGATTTGACTCTGGGGATTTGACTCTGGGGATTTGACTCTGGGGATTTGACTCTGGGGATTTGACTCTGGGGATTTGACTCTGGGGATTTGACTCTGGGGATTTGACTCTGGGGATTTGACTCTGGGGATTTGACTCTGGGGATTTGACTCTGGGGATTTGACTCTGGGGATTTGACTCTGGGGATTTGACTCTGGGGATTTGACTCTGGGGATTTGACTCTGGGGATTTGACTCTGGGGATTTGACTCTGGGGATTTGACTCTGGGGATTTGACTCTGGGGATTTGACTCTGGGGATTTGACTCTGGGGATTTGACTCTGGGGATTTGACTCTGGGGATTTGACTCTGGGGATTTGACTCTGGGGATTTGACTCTGGGGATTTGACTCTGGGGATTTGACTCTGGGGATTTGACTCTGGGGATTTGACTCTGGGGATTTGACTCTGGGGATTTGACTCTGGGGATTTGACTCTGGGGATTTGACTCTGGGGATTTGACTCTGGGGATCTGGGGATTTGACTCTGGGGATTTGACTCTGGGGATTTGACTCTGGGGATTTGACTCTGGGGATTTGACTCTGGGGATTTGACTCTGGGGATTTGACTCTGGGGATTTGACTCTGGGGATTTGACTCTGGGGATTTGACTCTGGGGATTTGACTCTGGGGATTTGACTCTGGGGATTTGACTCTGGGGATTTGACTCTGGGGATTTGACTCTGGGGATTTGACTCTGGGGATTTGACTCTGGGGATTTGACTCTGGGGATTTGACTCTGGGGATTTGACTCTGGGGATTTGACTCTGGGGATTTGACTCTGGGGATTTGACTCTGGGGATTTGACTCTGGGGATTTGACTCTGGGGATTTGACTCTGGGGATTTGACTCTGGGGATTTGACTCTGGGGATTTGACTCTGGGGATTTGACTCTGGGGATTTGACTCTGGGGATTTGACTCTGGGGATTTGACTCTGGGGATTTGACTCTGGGGATTTGACTCTGGGGATTTGACTCTGGGGATTTGACTCTGGGGATTTGACTCTGGGGATTTGACTCTGGGGATTTGACTCTGGGGATTTGACTCTGGGGATTTGACTCTGGGGATTTGACTCTGGGGATTTGACTCTGGGGATTTGACTCTGGGGATTTGACTCTGGGGATTTGACTCTGGGGATTTGACTCTGGGGATTTGACTCTGGGGATTTGACTCTGGGGATTTGACTCTGGGGATTTGACTCTGGGGATTTGACTCTGGGGATTTGACTCTGGGGATTTGACTCTGGGGATTTGACTCTGGGGATTTGACTCTGGGGATTTGACTCTGGGGATTTGACTCTGGGGATTTGACTCTGGGGATTTGACTCTGGGGATTTGACTCTGGGGATTTGACTCTGGGGATTTGACTCTGGGGATTTGACTCTGGGGATTTGACTCTGGGGATTTGACTCTGGGGATTTGACTCTGGGGATTTGACTCTGGGGATTTGACTCTGGGGATTTGACTCTGGGGATTTGACTCTGGGGATTTGACTCTGGGGATTTGACTCTGGGGATTTGACTCTGGGGATTTGACTCTGGGGATTTGACTCTGGGGATTTGACTCTGGGGATTTGACTCTGGGGATTTGACTCTGGGGATTTGACTCTGGGGATTTGACTCTGGGGATTTGACTCTGGGGATTTGACTCTGGGGATTTGACTCTGGGGATTTGACTCTGGGGACTCTGGGGATTTGACTCTGGGGATTTGACTCTGGGGATTTGACTCTGGGGATTTGACTCTGGGGATTTGACTCTGGGGATTTGACTCTGGGGATTTGACTCTGGGGATTTGACTCTGGGGATTTGACTCTGGGGATTTGACTCTGGGGATTTGACTCTGGGGATTTGACTCTGGGGATTTGACTCTGGGGATTTGACTCTGGGGATTTGACTCTGGGGATTTGACTCTGGGGATTTGACTCTGGGGATTTGACTCTGGGGATTTGACTCTGGGGATTTGACTCTGGGGATTTGACTCTGGGGATTTGACTCTGGGGATTTGACTCTGGGGATTTGACTCTGGGGATTTGACTCTGGGGATTTGACTCTGGGGATTTGACTCTGGGGATTTGACTCTGGGGATTTGACTCTGGGGATTTGACTCTGGGGATTTGACTCTGGGGATTTGACTCTGGGGATTTGACTCTGGGATTTGACTCTGGGGATTTGACTCTGGGGATTTGACTCTGGGGATTTGACTCTGGGGATTTGACTCTGGGGATTTGACTCTGGGGATTTGACTCTGGGGATTTGACTCTGGGGATTTGACTCTGGGGATTTGACTCTGGGGATTTGACTCTGGGGATTTGACTCTGGGGATTTGACTCTGGGGATTTGACTCTGGGGATTTGACTCTGGGGATTTGACTCTGGGGATTTGACTCTGGGGATTTGACTCTGGGGATTTGACTCTGGGGATTTGACTCTGGGGATTTGACTCTGGGGATTTGACTCTGGGGATTTGACTCTGGGGATTTGACTCTGGGGATTTGACTCTGGGGATTTGACTCTGGGGATTTGACTCTGGGGATTTGACTCTGGGGATTTGACTCTGGGGATTTGACTCTGGGGATTTGACTCTGGGGATTTGACTCTGGGGATTTGACTCTGGGGATTTGACTCTGGGGATTTGACTCTGGGGATTTGACTCTGGGGATTTGACTCTGGGGATTTGACTCTGGGGATTTGACTCTGGGGATTTGACTCTGGGGATTTGACTCTGGGGATTTGACTCTGGGGATTTGACTCTGGGGATTTGACTCTGGGGATTTGACTCTGGGGATTTGACTCTGGGGATTTGACTCTGGGGATTTGACTCTGGGGATTTGACTCTGGGGATTTGACTCTGGGGATTTGACTCTGGGGATTTGACTCTGGGGATTTGACTCTGGGGATTTGACTCTGGGGATTTGACTCTGGGGATTTGACTCTGGGGATTTGACTCTGGGGATTTGACTCTGGGGATTTGACTCTGGGGATTTGACTCTGGGGATTTGACTCTGGGGATTTGACTCTGGGGATTTGACTCTGGGGATTTGACTCTGGGGATTTGACTCTGGGGATTTGACTCTGGGGATTTGACTCTGGGGATTTGACTCTGGGGATTTGACTCTGGGGATTTGACTCTGGGGATTTGACTCTGGGGATTTGACTCTGGGGATTTGACTCTGGGGATTTGACTCTGGGGATTTGACTCTGGGGATTTGACTCTGGGGATTTGACTCTGGGGATTTGACTCTGGGGATTTGACTCTGGGGATTTGACTCTGGGGATTTGACTCTGGGGATTTGACTCTGGGGATTTGACTCTGGGGATTTGACTCTGGGGATTTGACTCTGGGGATTTGACTCTGGGGATTTGACTCTGGGGATTTGACTCTGGGGATTTGACTCTGGGGATTTGACTCTGGGGATTTGACTCTGGGGATTTGACTCTGGGGATTTGACTCTGGGGATTTGACTCTGGGGATTTGACTCTGGGGATTTGACTCTGGGGATTTGACTCTGGGGATTTGACTCTGGGGATTTGACTCTGGGGATTTGACTCTGGGGATTTGACTCTGGGGATTTGACTCTGGGGATTTGACTCTGGGGATTTGACTCTGGGGATTTGACTCTGGGGATTTGATTGGGGATTTGACTCTGGGGATTTGACTCTGGGGATTTGACTCTGGGGATTTGACTCTGGGGATTTGACTCTGGGGATTTGACTCTGGGGATTTGACTCTGGGGATTTGACTCTGGGGATTTGACTCTGGGGATTTGACTCTGGGGATTTGACTCTGGGGATTTGACTCTGGGGATTTGACTCTGGGGATTTGACTCTGGGGATTTGACTCTGGGGATTTGACTCTGGGGATTTGACTCTGGGGATTTGACTCTGGGGATTTGACTCTGGGGATTTGACTCTGGGGATTTGACTCTGGGGATTTGACTCTGGGGATTTGACTCTGGGGATTTGACTCTGGGGATTTGACTCTGGGGATTTGACTCTGGGGATTTGACTCTGGGGATTTGACTCTGGGGATTTGACTCTGGGGATTTGACTCTGGGGATTTGACTCTGGGGATTTGACTCTGGGGATTTGACTCTGGGGATTTGACTCTGGGGATTTGACTCTGGGGATTTGACTCTGGGGATTTGACTCTGGGGATTTGACTCTGGGGATTTGACTCTGGGGATTTGACTCTGGGGATTTGACTCTGGGGATTTGACTCTGGGGATTTGACTCTGGGGATTTGACTCTGGGGATTTGACTCTGGGGATTTGACTCGGGGATTTGACTCTGGGGATTTGACTCTGGGGATTTGACTCTGGGGATTTGACTCTGGGGATTTGACTCTGGGGATTTGACTCTGGGGATTTGACTCTGGGGATTTGACTCTGGGGATTTGACTCTGGGGATTTGACAGAGATTTATTACTAGTGTGGTGCTCACTGGTTCTATTACACCTATCAAGAAAAGTTTCAGATCAGGATTAGCATTTAGGAACAAGATTGATGTACTCGGCTGTTCCAAAGATACTTCAGCTGGTATACAATCTTACACTTTTCTCTATCTTGTTCACATTAACACCTCTCATCACTTCCACCCATTAAACTTTCAAAGTATTTTAACCATTTACTGTACTTCTAATCTCCTCTATAATAAATCTGTACAGTGATGCATTCTAAAAAATGGACAAGAATATAAACCTTGAAATAAAGCACTGTACATACATGTAACTTTAATTAAAAATGAACTACTTTCAGTAAAAGAGCAAATGAATTACATGCTTTTTAAGTAATATTTCATGTCAGTAAATTTCTACTGTACAAAAAAAAAAAAAGATTGATAAAATATATATACACACTGTACCTTCTCGAACTATGCCAAACTGCAACAAGGAAGAGGGTAGATAGAAGGAAGACTCCGCCTCCAGTGGCCACGCCCACAATCCAAGAAAATGTCGGTACAGCCGTGATGAGACCAATTAATAATGACAGGTGGATAACCACCAATAGTACTAGTGGGGAGAACTGAAACAATGGCTCTACCCACTGACGAGCAAAACTCCCCATCTCCTCTGTTGAAAAAATTTAGAATATATGCAGACATGTATTAATACGTAGTTACATAAAGAACGTGCAAAAAATGAAAATCATTTTAAATATCCTGGGATCCAATCAAAACTGACCACATATACAGTCTGGTTCATTCTCAACTCGCAATCAAGAATTTCGACCAAGACAGAAATGGTTGAGTGCTTTTCCTATCGCCTAATGCAACTGTTCACTAAGCAGTAAGTACGTACTCAGAAGTTAGTCAGCTTCTTGAAGGGTTGCATCCTGGGCGGGGTCAGTAATTCAACCTTGGGGGATAAGGGGACGGGGGGAGGACCTCAATATAAGCCTAATGTGTGTGAACACACTGGCTGCCTGTCCCCCAATACAATAAATTATTAATTATATAAAACTTTGTAAAACTGGCAGTACACTGACAGTAGGTTCTGAAACAGCTACCGAATGCAACAGCTATTTTTCCTCAACTGTGGCTAACCTTACCAGATATATTCAAGAAGCCCAGCAAAATGTTGCAACATGCCTTATTGGCGAATATCTCACTTCACTATGCTTGCCATCAATCGGGTGCTTGGACCAGCCATTGTTTTAGTCTCGAGAAAATAAGAGTATGTCCATTGGACAATCTTGTATAAATATATATTTGAAAAGAACTATACTGTACCAAGCTCCTACCCTGTAAAATTCAACCGAGTTCCAAATGTCAGTATGTGTCACAATTTCCGTAACGATGTCATTTTAAGTTCATGGATAGTACAGTGTGTTTTGTACAATGCCCAACGTCTAACTACTGACCTTTCCCAGGATGCAACCCCATAACAAGCCGACTAATTCCCAGGTACCTTTTCTGCTAGGTGAATAGGCACATTAGGTGACAGTAAACATAACCAACCATTTCTGTCCCCCAGGAATTGAACCCGGGATTCCCAATTTTGAGTCTAGAACAAACCCAACTGTACAATATAAAGCTAAAAAACACAAATGAATGAAGATTCTTAGGCCTATACATTACAAGAGACTTTAAAACTCGTCTTTCATTCAGGAAGTAAGAAAGAGCTATGAGAAGAGGTTAGAGGCATTGAAGGCGGAGGTGGTCAAAAAGCGTTATATGACGAGTGCTGGGAAGACAGGATACCACGAACGTAGCTCTCATCCTGTAACTACAATTAGGTAATTACTCACAACCAAAGAAGTGCCCCAAACAGTTTGCACATCCTATTAGCCACTACTCTGCTATTTTCGTATTATATTGCTCTCTTGCCTATCCCTGTATCTCCTGTGGGGCTAAATCACCACAAACAATTTGTGGTGATTTAGTTTGTTGGTGACAGGTACATTAAACCCAACAAACAAAACTCAACTATTACAGTGAAGACGTTTCATTAAAATCCCTAACACACATACAGTACTGAATGTATGAACACACTACCTTCAGCTGTGCACTTTCTATTTATAAAAACTATACATATACCATTTTGAAGCACTAACCAATACATGAAACTCTTCCTAGAGGGATGTAATAGAACCCATAGCATCATTTGAGAAGTACTTTATCTCTGATATTTATGTAAAGTCTATCAGTCTATACAAATATGCCATGCATATAAAGGAACCTAAAATATGGCTCTCTCCCTTCCAAATGAAGTCAAGACCTGTATAACAATAGTCAAAAGTAATGCAAAGCATCACCTAAATGCTCATTGTAGTACCCAGCACTCTTCTCATTCTCCTCATTTTCCAAAATGCACTATTAAATCTCATTATACATATACCAGTACAAGTTTGCCTCATGATAAAAGTAAATACTATAACTGATTACTCAAAGTATTTGCATATTTGTTCATTTTTATAGTGTAACAAAAAGGTGTACTGCTGGGCCCTAGGGATGGCCTACTTGGCCTTTTGGGTAATCTGGCCCTGTCCTTAATGTCCTGCCTCATTTTTCTTTATGATATTCTCTCTTTACAGCCATATACCCAACCAGTATGTGGGGCCTCGTAGCCTGGTGGATAGCGCGCAGGACTCGTAATTCTGTGGCGCGGGTTCGATTCCCGCACGAGGCAGAAACAAATGGGCAAAGTTTCTTTCACCCTGAATGCCCCTGTTACCTAGCAGTAAATAGGTACCTGGGAGTTAGTCAGCTGTCACGGGCTGCTTCCTGGGGGTGGAGGCCTGGTCGAGGACCGGGCCGCGGAGACACTAAAGCCCCGAAATCATCTCAAGATAACCTCAAGATAAGATAGTACTAGTCTGGAAATTGTTTACATTTAACTTTACTGCAACTATTTTTGCACGAAGCCGAGTAAACTATCTGAATAATGGTTTGTCGAAATCAGCATGTTTAGCAGGCTTCATTGGTTTGCTGTTGCGTATTGTTAGAGCGAGTTGGAAGGACAACCTTTTAATTTTCTTTCTGCTTCTTTTTATCACAAACTGCTGCCTCTTTGATGTTCAATTCTTGAGTGTCTAGTGACTATAGTCCAGCATAGTTTAGGCATAGAATCACATAGTTCAGTGTTTAGAATTTCTGTGGCTATCATACAAACTAAGTAGATTTGCTGTGCATATTTTATATACATACTGTATACACATATGTATGGAAAATGGAAAGATTGAAATAAGTTTTACTTACAAATATAAACACAGCACGATAAAACTTCAACCATAAATATCTTACCCTTCAGTTTGCGTATGAGGAAAGACTTCCCTGAGCCCCACTTGGCATAGAGACCAACAGATATGGGCATGGAAAGAGAAGGTTCACTGAGGATGTCTGCCATGGATGACGAGTAAAGATCATAGCCCAACATATTTTCGTTGTCCTCATTGGTGTTAAGACGACCTGTCGTGAAAACATGGAGCAAAAAATATGATACAGTACCTACTACAGTATAGTATAAGTATCACTTTATATCATATCATGTACTGCATAGTTCCATGAATCATCAATACAATTGATGATTGTATTGATGATTGTATCAATTTAGCAAAACCTAGTAATGAAATCATACAAGAATTTATTACTCCTAACATAACAAAACAGTGTGCAGCCCTGCAGGCACCACCAGAAGCGTGCAGCCCTGCAGGCACCACCAGAAGCATGCAGCCCTGCAGGCACCACCAGAAGCATGCAGCCCTGCAGGCACCACCAGAAGCGTGCAGCCCTGCAGGCACCACCAGAAGCGTGCAGCCCTGCAGGCACCACCAGAAGCGTGCAGCCCTGCAGGCACCACCAGAAGCATGCAGCCCTGCAGGCACCACCAGAAGCATGCAGCCCTGCAGGCACCACCAGAAGCATGCAACCCTGCAGGCACCACCAGAAGCATGCAGCCCTGCAGGCACCACCAGAAGCATGCAGCCCTGCAGGCACCACCAGAAGCATGCAGCCCTGCAGGCACCACCAGAAGCATGCAGCCCTGCAGGCACCACCAGAAGCATGCAGCCCTGCAGGCACCACCAGAAGCATGCAGCCCTGCAGGCACCACCAGAAGCATGCAGCCCTGCAGGCACCACCAGAAGCATGCAGCCCTGCAGGCACCACCAGAAGCATGCAGCCCTGCAGGCACCACCAGAAGCATGCAGCCCTGCAGGCACCACCAGAAGCATGCAGCCCTGCAGGCACCACCAGAAGCATGCAGCCCTGCAGGCACCACCAGAAGCATGCAGCCCTGCAGGCACCACCAGAAGCATGCAGCCCTGCAGGCACCACCAGAAGCATGCAGCCCTGCAGGCACCACCAGAAGCATGCAGCCCTGCAAGCACCACCAGAAGCATGCAGCCCTGCAAGCACCACCAGAAGCATGCAGCCCTGCAGGCACCACCAGAAGCATGCAGCCCTGCAAGCACCACCAGAAGCATGCAGCCCTGCAAGCACCACCACAAGCCTGAGCGCGCAAGCACCACCAGAAGCCTGAGCGCGCAAGCACTACCAGAAGCCTGAGCGCGCAAGCACTACCAGAAGCCTGAGCGCGCAAGCACTACCAGAAGCCTGAGCATGCAAGCACTACCAGAAGCCTGAGCATGCAAGCACTACCAGAAGCCTGCATGTACTGCCCTGCAAGCACTACCAGTTGCCTGTGCACAAAGCCCTGCAAGCACTACCAGCTAGCTGCCTGTGTGCGCAAACAAAGCTACATTATGCATACGTTCCCCACTTTATTCACATAAAATGTAACTCACGCGCTCCGAAGATCTGGCCGAGGATGGTCTTCTGGTTGGAGAGATCGATGTTATATGGGGTCTCGCCAGCTCGGTTAGGACGGTACAGCAGCTGGCTATTTTTGGGATTTCTCAATAAGATTTCTACTATTCTCTGCAATAAATTGTAATTACATTATTACTAGTGTGGTATATTTATCAGAAAGCGGCTAAGCCAGCAAAGGTTATATAGCTCCTAATATACTACACTATGCAGTATTGTATAATAAAATCGGCCTACTTGTATGGTATACTTGTAATAACTGAAAAGTCTTCAAGATGCCACTACAAGTGACCCTATTAAAAAGCAAATATAATCTAGATGAGCAAGTACAGCATTGGCAATTACATATTAATATCTCGTATTTCTCTGAAAATTTTCAAGGCCATGAGATTAAGATGTTTCTAAACCAAAGAAAACCGAAGACAATATATCCACATACCTTTGAACGTCCTCTCATGGCAATATGTAGGGCAGTGTCGCCTTTTTTATCCGTCACCGATACCCGAGCTTTTTTGTCGACTAACAGCTGAACCACCTCGGCATTCTTGTTCCTGACTGCCCTCAGGAGACAAGCATCTCCGGTTTTGGTGGTGTGTTCCAGATCAGGGTTTGCACTTAACAACACCTGCCACAAGATTGATTGATTGAGTGATAAAGATTAAGCCACCCAAAAGGTGGCATGGGCATGAATAGCCCGTAAGTGGTGGCCCTTTTGAGCCATTACCAGTATCAATAGATGATACTGGAGATCTGTGGAGGTGCGACTGCACCCTGCGTGACGGGAGATGTCTCCCGTCACCTGCCACAAGAAATGGCAAGCAATTGAGGCCTAGCTTCGTGATTTAATTTAAAACATTTAGCCATATTATCAAAATTGCATGTACCATGCATGATGATGCAGGATCTGGCAGCGAAATATCATCTAAGAGAGCAAGAATGCTAGACTATCAGATTAGTTCAAGTGAAATTTAAGACATTTAATATTGAACGAAATATCTAGTCAAAATGAGTACACATTCTAGTTACAAACTGTATTGAATCACGGCTTAAACTTTAATACAACATTCAACCACTAATTGTTTACCTTAACAACAGAGGTGTGACCTTTCTCTACCGCCCAATATAAAGCATTCTTTCTATCCTTGCCCACCATGTCAACGTCACAGTACTTCTTGAGGAGGGCTTCTACCACCGCTCTGTGACCTCCTCTTGCAGCATATATTAGATTAGTATCGTCGTTGCGATCCTGTGGGGTACAATTGCCTATATCAATTAGCACTACTCACCAATGTCAATATTTTACTATCGTGAATCAAATCAATCTGTAAACTTCACAAAAATTCACAGCCAACTTAACATAGAATCTTAAAACAGTAAATAAAATCATTCATTAACAAACGTAAATCTTAACTGCTAATGCAACGTGCAATACAGCACTAAATCTGCGAGATGATAATGAAAAGCCACCTGTAATAGAAAATTATAATACCGAGTTGAAATTATCTGTACTGTACCTGCATGTTAACATAAGCTCCACTATTTAGCAAAGCATTAGCAATCTCTGTATACCCTTCTTTGCAAGCAATGGTAAGCGCAGTGCCTCCATCTTTGTCAAGAGCATTGAGGTTGGGCCGGTGTTCCAGCAGCAGTTGCACCAACTCCAGGAAGTTGCCTCTTGTTGCTACTAGCAATGGCGTCCACGAGTACTGAACAGAAACATCACACCATTAATTTGTTTGTAAAGAGACACCACAAGACATATCAATTAATCATCATTGGATTTCACATTAGCCTTTATTGCTCCACTGCACGTCTGTAAATTATTAAATCAAACTGACTCCCTGGTTGTTATCAGTAACGTAACTGTGCTTTGAATTTTGTAACTAGCTCATCACGATTGTAACTTCTTATCAAGATTTATTGTAACTAGCTCACCAAGATCCACTACCACCCACAGGATAGGTATGGGGTACATAATAAATGAACTAAACTAAAAAACTGGTCTTTCATCTAGTAGTAAGCACTAACTTTATGATCAGTGGACGTGACGTAAATTTACTTCATAATATACATTTCATGGCCCTAAAATGGAAACTAATTCGTCACTATCCTAAACCATGAAATAATTTGAAGACACCCCCACCTAACACCCCCACCCCCACTCAAATACCCCCACCTAACTAGAATTAACGTTCCACGATAGCGTATATTTCTTAGTTAAAGTAAAAACAAAAGTTTGGATCTTTGCAACGATCACTCCAACTGCCCAAGAACACACCATGCCAGAGGCGTCGACGTTGGCTCCATGTTGCAAGAGATCCTTGGCGATCTCGTAATATCCCTTACGGCACGCCCAGATGAGCGGCGTTGTCCCAAACTTGTCCCCAATGTTGACCTTGGCACCATGCTGCAGTAAGTCATGCACGATCTCTGTGTGACCCCGGCCAGCTGCCCACACTAATGAGGTCATGTGATGTTGACCCTGGGTGTTGGGGTCAGCACCACGTGAAAGCAACATGCTGGCCAGGGCAGTGTGGCCCTTATAACAGGCCCACATAAGTGCAGTCCATCCACCCTGCAAGGCAAATGGATTAATTAATATTAAGCTGGAAAAATAAATTGATCCATATTCATGATTATCTCATTAACTTTTTAGTGAGCAAGGCTGTTAGTATACAAAATCATGAGTATCCATTTTTTGGGTAAAAAAATATCAACCCGTTCTCGCACTTTCTTAGTCAGTATTGACTTATTAAATACGTGCATATGTGACATACTAATTTATTGTGAATATTTTAGTTTACCTTGAAAAGCTTCATAGAAAACACCGACCTCACCTAACCACCTTAGTATGTTAAGATAAGCATCTTATTGCTTCATAATTACAATAATTACTTAACCTATACCTATAATAGGTTAAGTAATTATTGTAATTACGAAGCAATAAGATGTTTATCTTAACATACTAAGAAGGTTAGGTAAGGTCGGTGTTTTCTATGAAGCTTTTCAAGGTAAACTAAAATATTTACAATAAATTAGTATGTCACATATGCACTTGTTTAATAAGTCAATATTGACTTAAAAAGTGCGAGAACGGGTTGAAAAATATATAATAGTGATTAAAAAAATTTAAAATTAATTTACGTTGTAGTAAAACAAAAAATCATCATACCATGTCCTTGTGATGTATGTTGGCGCCATGATCGAGCAGTGTTGCCACAGTTTCCACATGACCTTCCTTGGTCGCTGTGATGGAGGGTGACCACTGGTCCTGAGGATGTGGCAACATTACATCATTACTTGTAGATTTTATAACTAGCTCAAGACTAACTTGCTTAACTAAAAGAATTTGAGGGTTCAGTCCCTGAGCCCAGTCACCGACAGTCACTGATGGTCGAGTGGTTAAGGTACCATGTACATGGGGGTTCGAGTCACTTCTGGGGTGTGGAGTTTTCAGTTATATACCCGAAACAAATTATTCTGATCTGTTAGGTTCAGAACTATGAAAATGAAGTGCATGAATGAGTGCACAGACAGCCCCGTTTATGACTAAGATGGTCCTCATGATCAATAAGTGCAATAATGACTTAAGAAAACTATCCCCCCAAGAACCCACATGGATTTTGGGGAGATTGTTTCTATCAAGTTCAAGTATGTTTATTGAGACAAGAAAAAATACATCTCAAAGGGATAGAGTAACTTAGGCTATTTCTACCCCCCTTTGTTCCTATCCTCTCTCATAGAGAGACCGAAACCTCTCCCATAGAAGCCGGAGAACAACTTACATTATCCTCGGCGTTGACGTCTGCTCCGTGGAGGATGAGCTCGTTACACATCTCGGACCTGCCCTTGCTGGCAGCCAGGATAAGAGCAGTGGCGCCATTCTCATCCTTGTCATCTATAACCACAGAGCGGGTAGCCAAGAAAGTCTGCAGGCCGCTGAAGTTGTCTTCGGTGATGTACGTTTCCAGGGACTTGAAACTCAGTGACACCATCTGGTCCGACTGCCGGAGAGACACCAAACGGGAAAATGTGTAAGATTGGGGGTTCAATATAGAAATAGACGAGTTTACCAACGGTGGTGGAAAGAAAACGTACAGCGATGCACATAATTTGATGAAATCCACGACAACATTATGCACGTGCAAAAAAAACAGTGTACTGAAAGTAGATGAATGCAAAAAAGTCCCGATGTTCTACACGTGGCTTGATTTTGCACGAAGCTACATATACGATATTTATAATCCCTCTAGCCTAAAAGTGCTCAAAGCTTCAAAACCGTTTAAAAACTTTTGTGCTTTTTAAAGTTTTTAAAAGCTTTGCATCGATTTTTTTGATTGGTGCAAAAATTCTACATTTACTATAATACAGAACTAGACTTTACTAGAAGATATATACAATTAATCCAGTCACAGCAATATTATTGATCCTCATGAGGCACGCCAATGGGGGGCCCAGTGAATCTTTTTTTTTTCCAGACTGAGCCATATATTAGCGTGACGCAGATAATGTAAATAAGTTACGCATCGTTGAGACTGGACAGCGACTGGATGGGTAACCACACGGCTGTTTCCTGAACCTTGGCTGGGAGGACCGCTTAGAGGAGGTCCATTCGTACTACAAAGACCGGATAGATAAAATATGGCGACTTTACCAGTCATTAAGGCCATCAGTATCATAACAAACCACCTACTGAGTGATAACACCTATTTGCAAAACTTTTTTGTTCAGGGAGCCGGTGGGTATCTAAATGTTGACTTTGTGCATACGAGTCTAATTCCCATCCTTTTTAAAATAATAGTACTTATAGCAACTATTTGCTGGACCGTTGCAGCCAAATTCACGATTTTTAATACTTTGTAGAGGCTTCCTAAAGCCTAAATTGGTGGGGGGGGGGGCCATTGACAAGCCGCCGGCTTTCTATCCTCGTCGAGGCCACTAGTGTGTTAGTAAACCTCAGGTAAAACCGAACTTAAACATTCCTATAGCACAACCTATTTTAGGCCTAAGAGCGTATATTTGGCCTAAAATTGCTTGTTCACGCATTGGACAGGTTAGAAGGTTCTTTATTTCCTTATCTACTTTTGTATGCCAATTGGGCTAATTCAATAGCAGAAAAACTCTTCGGGATCCCAACAGTGCAGGTTTGTACGTTGTACCAAATATTTGCTGTAAGTACTATATTTGAGAATGGACTGATATAAACGGCTAATTAAAACTAAATTTAAGGCAATATAACCCGTTGCTTGTGATCACTTAGAGTAGCTTATATAAAAGAATTATACAATAAGGAAAACTTTTATACAGGGTGCTAATTCACAGCCCGTCCTCCTAAGGTTTTCCAACGTCAAGAAAGTGTCGTACTAAAATGCCCTTTATCCTAACCTACCAGCGGACCCAAACCAGGAAACGGGACACTGTCAATTTCGCCAGCCGCTGCCATTTTCTAGTACGACGATTTTTTGCCCTGAAGAGTTTTTGCCCTTAAGTTTTTTGCCCTTAAGTCCTTAAGTCCTTTAAGTGTACGGCAAAATGACACATTCTTTTAGAAGGACGGTCATACGGGACCCGTGATCCACTGAGCCAACAAACAATGCAATACTATTTCGTTATACTATCTGAAGCCTAGGAAATGTGTATGTATCTCTCTCAATGTTCGGTAATACGTTTATTGCTTGTGATGTGTGTCTATGTATGTATTAACACGATGAACGGGGTGAGAATAGCTTGAGCTACCTCATCCCTTTGTGTGTATTTTACCTCAATAAACTTATTTCAATTTCAATCTGAAGCCTTGTATAGGTTACCTCCCTATAACCTTACCTCCCTTTAGTTGTGTGTGTGTAGCTAACTGTGATTTTTGGTATTAAGCTTCAGCTCCTGGAACCCCGCCACTTAATAATTAACCGTTCTGTGTGATGTAGCCTGATCTCCCATTATTTTTTTTTTTTTTTTTTTTTTTTTTTTTTAACATTTGAGGTTGCGTGCTTGAGTGCACATGTAAATGAACACACGTGTGTTCACGCACATGGATACACCCTAGAGATACATTTTTGCAGTGCTGTTCATACCTGTCGCTTGATACCCCATACAGCACTTCACTGATCACTCTAGGTTAATGCTTAGAATAACACTCCTCCTCCTCTTCGTTCATTCAAAAAATTCATCCTGCAAAATTTTTATTGTTCACGTCATTCCTCAGAAGTCAATATAACCATATAATATAAGCAACAATGATCACAAAAACACTGATCCAAGTACGCAGAATAACCCACATGTGAAAAATAGAGAATGCTTAACGCGTTTTCGGCTATTCTGCATAACCATATATACATGTATTATCCACCAATCAGAAATCCCAGATACTCTTATCTACGGCAGCTTCACGACAATCAAAAGACTATACATGCTGCCATTACGTCCTCGTCACATTCAACCATCATTACAGACTTGCCTAGTTATGCTACACAATAAAACTAATCATTTTACATCAGTCAAATGACCAGTAAACCTACCTTTCGAATTATTACTGATCGGGAGTTAATAGGCTTAACCTCGTCTGATTACATCTCGCAAACCAACCCGTCCTTACTTTGTTAAAAAAACATTGTTAAACTTGCAAACTGATATCTACATAAAAGATTCCATTCGTTATTGATTCAATGATGCAAGTTTCACTTCTTTTTTTTTAGGCTAATCAGTTCTCATCTTAAAGAAGCCGCCATCAATAACAAGTTTCCCACTAATAATAAGTTATAAATATCGCAAAAAGCAAAAGTGATAAAATAATAAAGAGCAGTATCAATAATGATTAACATGTTAAAGGAAAAAATAAAATAAATAAAATTGTCATAACCAACGTGCGCCACGTGCAAAAAAAAGTATGCAAAAAAATTCGTTATAAACCGAATCCAGTGAATGCTGCCATATTTCAAAACAGTTCATTATATTTGTATATAAGCGTGAACACCATGACAAGAATGTGGAAATCAAATAAAACGAGGAAAACTAAAATCCATAAGCTCCATCAAACATCAGCACACAAACTCAAATACCGAGATAAATCCAGATTCGCCGAGAATGAAGATTTTTTTCCCCCTCTAGTTTCAACATCCTGTAACTGGTAATAAGCAAATGCTTCTGGCTAGGACTCTGCCGCAGCGTAAACTGGAGTTTAATCTTCCTGTACGCTGCAGCCCGAGTGGGTGAGCCAGTCACGTGCTGTTATCTCCAGCAAGATTCATAAAGCAGTTACGCAAGTACTTACGAACGTGTACATCTTTCCTCAACCTTTGACGGCTTTGGTTATATTTATTAAATAGTTTACAAGCATGAAAACTTCCCAATCAACTGTTGTTATTGATATAAACAGCCTCCCGGTGCTTCGGAGCTCATTAACTGTTTAATAATTGTAAACAAAGCCGCCAAAGATTGAGAAAAGATGTACAAGTTCGTAAGTGCTTGCGTAGCTGCTTTATGAATCCGGGTCGAACGAGAGAGAAATTAGTCAACACTGACAATCCGGATTCAGAGCTCAGGTGGAGAGCGTTCGTGACTCACGGTTATCTTCCTCTTCTCTGGCGCAGGGTAGAGACGGCGGTTGCTCTGGAAAAAATCCAACATGACTCCTTTACCACCTGTCTATTTGTAGCTACGAACAAGCAGGGGCTGAGAAACACTGCTCCGAAGCACTGATATCTATCTGGGGCCAGATTCACGAAAGCAGTTACGCAAACACTTACGAACGTGTACATCTTTCCTCAATCTTTGACGGCTTTGGTTACATTTATTAAACAGTTTACAAGCATGAAAACTTCCCATTCAACTGTTGTTATTGTTATAAACAGCCTCCTGGTGCTTCGGAGCTCATTAACTGTTTAATAATTGGAAATAAAGCCGCCAAAGATTGAGAAAAGATGTACAGGTTCGTAAGTGTTTGCGTAAGTGCTTTCGTGAATCTGGCCCTTAGATATTGTACTCTACTACTTGGAACAATTAGTCACCGAAAGTAAGTCTTTCTGAATTTGGTTTTAAAATTCATACATGTTAACATCTCATCGTATAACCCTAAAATGAAATAAATCATTAATATTAAAAGTTATCCAGAAGCGCTGTGCGTGATTAGTGGCTTTTATATAAAATATATATAAACACCTATGCAAAGATTCCAACCACAGCCTGAAATATATTTCGTTATAAACAATATTATAGTTTGTGGTGACCATCTTAGGTGTCCAGCAAGCCATTGTTGCCACCGGCGGCTACATTATTGTGTACCCCAAACTCGTCATGTGAGCGGTAGCGCAAAAAAGGGGGTTAGAGAAAGCGCAAACGGTCTTTATCAGACCCTAGTGGATGTTGGCAATTTTTACAATCTGTGAACCTTAAAACTATAACGATAACTAACAACACTGCTTGCACAGTAACTTGTGTGTGGCAATATAACATTTAACATTGGAACTAAGTATTTGGTAACGCCAGCCTAATTGTTCATACACTAAGTTGCGCGTTGTAACAATCTCATGCAATTAAGTTACCTTAATTGCAGATCCTTAATTATTAAGTTACACATCTGTCTCCACGCGGCCTGTTACGACCGCTCCCAATTGTAAAACAGGCAAAAGCCGAAAGCTACCAAGTCTTTGCTGCTATAAGTCCAATTTAATAACTTTTACAAATGCATAACAATGACTGCAATTGATGAGTAATTAGAGGACGTAAATGATTTTGGGTAGTAGAACCCCAAGCACAAATACCATAGTTGAGATAAGAATAGACGAGTAATAGTGTATTTGTATTTTGTATTTATAGTCACCCCTTCATCTATGCTTTGTAGAATTTACCTACTTAAAATTATGTTAGATTAAGGACCTGCCCGAAACGCTGCGCGTACTAGTGGCTTTACAAGATTGTAAATACTATGCTATGTATTCTCATAAACCCAATGTACCTTCTTGTATATAAATAAATAAATAAATAAATAAATAAAATAATCCTTCACAGAACACGGTAGCAGCACACTAATCTAACGCATAACTACTATAATTATATTATTATTGCTTGGGAGTACGCAGTGTGCAAATTTAAATCCCCATCGTGGCTCTTAGAAATTTTAGCATTATTAATTACCATTTTAAGCCTCCCTAGCCAAGGACGAGGCTGGCCACGTGGTCACCCATCCATTAACTAGTCAAAGCTGCTAATGCTGAACCTGAAAGCGACCTCCACTGCACGCGCCTTCAGCCTCATGTATAATTAATACGTGCACAGGCAACAATTCTTATATAAATTAAATAATGAGCTTCGTGCAGACAAGAATAACATACCAAAAATTCTTGGCGAGGCCTAAACCAAATATATACACAAAGACAGTATTGGGGAGTGTGTGTTAAAAGTCCTTTCTTTGACAAGCCGTCAACTTCCTGTCCCTGTCGAGATTACTAGACAGAGTGGCCCTCAAGTGAATTCAGGTAAATACTTAACACATACTTAACTATATAGTTACTTAACTATATAGTTAAGTATGTGTTAAGTTAAATATATAGTTAAGTAAGCAATCAGTGTCTGTCAACAGCCTTCACATTGTCAATAGGCAGAACCCATACCACGTAGGCGGAGGGGAAAGGGATGGAATTGGAGGTTAAAATGAATATAGGAAAGTAAGTTAAAACGGAAAAGGAGATTTTAGTGAAAGAAAATGGCCGAGCTAGTCTGACCTAGCAACTCTAAGCTCCATGTGTTCCCAGCTTCCCCCTAGAGCGCGACGCTCTCCAGATAGAGATTAGTGATTGGGAGGGAATTATATATATCTAAAAAATTAATACCATACAGATGCGAGAAACCTTCAATAATATAAACAATAATTTGAGAGTCTGGATAATATTCTTGAAACGAAAACACAATCGATCGGATACATCAGGCTGATAATTGAAGCTTTAAAGAAACGATTCACTCGTATTTGGTTAAAATAGTAATTACAAATATAAAACAGTCATACCACAGGTTTACTTGCATCATTAAAGTAGTTGCAGGTTAAAATGGTTAGGTTTTATTCCGTATAACGTGGTACACACACTTGTAGCTTCCTAGATAACGTTACACTTGTAACGTCCTAGATAACTTGACCTATGTGACCTAGATAGCGTAGTACACCCCCCCCCCCCTCCGCTAAAATAACGGGTGAAGGTGACCCATCAACAATCGTTGTTCGCACATATTCACCGTTACCAAAAGTTACTCTCAAAACACCCGCGTTAAGTTATTGTTTCTACTAGAGGTGGCAAAGTTATCGTTTGTCAGTGACAAAGTTATGCCTTTGGGGACGGTATGTTGCGTTATCTAGGACGCTACAAGTATGTTATTGTTTGTCAGTTCACTAGGGGGCTCATCATAGCTCACGCTACTTACAACTTTTGTTCCCAGTAGCCTGATAAATTAGATTAGGCTACTTGATTAAATTAGATTAGGCTACCTAATCAAGATTAGGCTACCTTGGCTTACTTCCCTCGTGTGGGCTGATGCCTTGTCAGCCCTACCAACCCTACCAAACACCTCTGTTAGTTACAATGATTATAATGAAGGCCTAGCATTTGACTGGACTGTCAAAATGATAAACTTAACAAATTGTTAATATTTGTGCTTGTAAGTGTTGACGAACTAGGGCTCCATTTCTCTACAATAAGACCACAATTAATATTGGCTAATTCATGAATTCCAAATCGTTAAATACAGTAAAGTAATTATCAAAAGAAAGCACCAGACCGGGAAGGCTATGTTAAATACAGTAAATATGAATATATTTACTGTATATATAAATTTGTATCGCATTGCTATCAATATGGCATGATAAGTCAATGAAAACGATTGAGGCAACTGAGGGGCTTAAACTAGCGACCTGGTGATCTGATTGGCTGTAAAAACCTGGTTGGGTCCCCGCCTGACTGATTGAAGTAGTTAAGCCACCCAAGAGGTGGCACGGGCATGAATAACCCGTAAGGTTGGGCCCTAATTCGGGGCCTCCAGAACTTTCCGGAGAACTTTGTCGAGTTGAGGGTTGGTCAACTTACGTACCATCATGGCTGAGTCGGTTAAGGCAGGCGTTTGGGAATCACCAGGTCGCGAGTTCAAGTCATTCCACTGACTCAACCAAACCACTTGGGCTGGACGGTAGAGGGACGGACTCGCTTCATGCAGGTCTGCGTTCAATCCCCGACCGTCCAAGTGAGTGGTTGGGCACCATTCCTTTCCCACCGTCCCATCCCAAATCCTTATCCTGACCCCTTCCCAGTGCTATCTAGTCGTAATGGCTGTCTCTTCCCCCACGGGAGACATCTCCCGTCACGCAGGGTGCAGTCGCACCTCCACAGATCTCCAGTATCATCTCTTGATACTGGTAATGGCTCAAAAGGGCCACCACTTACGGGCTATTCATGCCCGTGCCACCTTTTGGGTGGCTTAATCTTTATCAATCAATCAATCTCTTCCCCCATTGCCTCAAAATGACTCATGAATATGTGTGGAGGAACGGGATTGATTATACCCCTACCTAATTGTGTATGCAGAGTCGAGCTTCAGCTCCTGAGTCCCACCATTTCAGTTCATCCCCGCTTGTTGCAAGGAGTCATTGAAGAATAAGCCTATCTTATTCTTAAACTGCATAACGTTAGAGTTAACTACCTGCCCTTTAGTGAGTAAATGGAACGGCCTATTCTCGCTCAGTTCCCTTTCCTCAGTGATCGAGATGGTCCATATGATTCCTCCCCCCACCCTTTACCCCCATTTCTATGATCAACTCTGCAGCCTGGCTTGGTCTAGGTATTCTACCTAATGATAATAAGAATAAGATAGGCCTAACATGTTAAACATGTCCAATCGTTGTGTTCCCAATGTTAAACATGTCCAATCGTTGTGCTCTCCATACCATACTAGTCTTCACAAATCTAGTTCCCTTCGCAGTACACCTGGCTCCGTTCTCGACTCGAAATATCAGAGATGCCCGCGTTCTATTTCCCGGGCGGGACAGAAATGATTTCGGTTCACCTAATGCACCCGTTCACCTAGCCGTAAATAGGCACCCAGCAATTAGCGCAATTGTTGTGGGGTTACGTCCTGGGGGGTTGGGGGGGGTTATCTTGAGATGATTTCGGGGCTTTAGTGTCCCCGCGGCCCGGTCCTCGACCAGGCCTCCACCCCCAGGAAGCAGCCCGTGACAGCTGACTAACACCCAGGTACCTATTTTACTGCTAGGTAACAGGGGCATAGGGGGGGGGGGTCAGCAGTGCCATCTTAAGTTAACAACAATTACAAGTAGATAGATTTATGTATTTACTATGTATTATTTGTATCTGCAGAATCGAGCTATTAGCTCTCGGACTCTGCTTTTCTAACCAATTTATTCTTCCTCTATCATGTCTACAACAGCTAACACACGCACATTCCCAGAAAGCAGCCCGTGGCAGCTGTCTAACTCCCAGGTATTTAATGTATTTATTGCTAGGTGAATAGAGGCATCAGGGTGAAAGACTGCCCCATTTACTCCTGCCTCTGCCAGGGATCGAACCCGGGCCCATAAGACTACAACCCCAGAGCGCTGTCCACTCAGCCCTGTGTGAATGGTGGTATTTGCTCTGGTTCTCAAAGACTTTATGGGATTGACTGGGCGCCAATCCTTAACTGTTGCCTCTGTTCACCCAACAGTATAAGAGATACCCGGTTGTAAAACTATTTAGCGGGTCGTATTCCAGGGAACGTAGTATTAAGGACCTGCCCGGAACCCTACACCTGCTGCTGGCTGTACAAGAATGTAAGAACTATTGTATATATTAATAAAACAAATTACGAAGGTGATTCTAATCCCTTTTTTTACCGTTGTATAAGCTCCATTAATCTATGGATGCGTCCTAACTGCAATATTTTGACCCTGGTTTCAAAATCTGGGGCCAGATTCACGAAAGCAGTTACGCAAGCACTTGCGAACGTGTACATCTTTCCTCAATCTTTGACGGCTTTGGTTACATTTATTAAACAGTTTATAAGCATGAAAACTTGCCAATCAACTGTTGTTATTGTTATAAACAGCCTCCTGGTGCTTCGGAGCTCATTAACTGTTTAATAATTGTAAACAAAGCCGTCAAAGATTGAGAAAAGATGTACAGGTTCGTAAGTGTTTGCGTAAGTGCTTTCGTGAATCTGGCCCCAGCACAGATGATGTTGTATTCAAGAAATCACTAGTGATAAATTATTGCCTTGTACAAAATAAGCGAATTGATAAATATTTTGGAATAAAATATAAACATGAAAATAGTCTACTACTACGATTAAAACTTTAATTTTAAGTAATTAATTATATTAAAAGTTGTTAGGAAAAAAAAAACTAGATTTATTAAACTACCGAAATTTAAAACGTTTACAGTTGAGAAATATAAAATATTTATTCAACAAGCAAATGCTAAAAAAAAGTTTTATCGTGATAAATGTTTACTAAAAATTCTGCATTATTACTAGGCTATATATTCAATTATTACATTGAGATTGAAAATAGAACACATGCCAACAGAGTATACGCTAAAAATTCATAAACAAAGAAAATGAAACATATTGCACGCCACAGAAAACGGCCAGTATTATCTAGGGTAACTAATCTACTTCTGTTAGCTCATACAACTATTGCGACAACTATCGTGCAAATTGTCTATTGGATTCCTGTATGGGAGGTCAACTTGTTCTACGTGTAAGCTCGGCAGCTGAGGTGCAAGTTAGTTGGGGCAGCAATAGCAGCGGCCCAAACGGGGCAGCTATGAGCCTACCCGGAACTGGGCACCGATGTTGAAGGAGAAACGGCGAGCGGCAATAGATGGCGAGACGCTCAGCAATGATACAAGAGACGGGCGTCGCCCGGTGCTGGGAGACACAGAGAGCGTGGAGAGCAGAGAAGCACGTCGTTGGTGCTGTTCAGGGGCGGGAATGAGCAGAGGGGAGTGGTGCGAGACCCGACGGGCAAGTCCACCCACGCAGCCCCCACTCTGGCTCGTCTCCTCGTCATCGCCGTCGTCGTCGCCAGTGTCAGGCAGATCCACGGAGTCATTAGGATCCATCTCAGAGGTGGGCGTGGGGCAAGCCACGTGGTACTTGGAGGGGTGGGCGTATGTGGGCGGGGAAGGGGTTGTGGGCAGTGATGGCAAACATTTATATGGTTCTGAGGGTGAAGCGGGCGGAGAGGCCGCTGGTGAAGTCTCCGGAGTGTTCTTGCGAAGGTATATGATTGGTATGGTGGACGAAGGGGCGGGTATAAGCAACGGTGTGGGCGGAGGCGTGGGCGGGGACGGAGACGTTGGTCCCGACGAGGCCAAGGAAGGGAAAACAAGGGGAATAAGAGTCTGGTGCAGAGGTAGAGGAAGCGGCAAGGCTTCCGCTATGACGGAGGAGCAACAGGACGAGGGAGAGGAAGGACAGGACGACATCAGAGGGGACGACCACCCACACGACATACTGCTTGTCACCGTCGTAGAAGACGACGAAATGACACAGATGACCGTCATGGGCGGCTGGTAGCCAGACAAGTTGCAGAGTGGCGTTGGCGACGCCGTAGAAGGGGCCGGAGTGGGAGTAAGCTTTGAACAAGCGGGTACTGGTGTTCCGGGTGGTGTGCAGGTCGGTAGGTGTGTTCCGGGTGATGTGCAGGTCGGTTGGGGTGTGCCGGGTGATGTGCAGGTCGGTTGGGGTGTGCCGGGTGATGTGCAGGTCGGTTGGGGTGTGCCGGGTGATGTGCAGGTCGGTTGGGGTGTGCCGGGTGATGTGCAGGTCGGTTGGGGTGTTCCGGGTGATGTGCAGGTCGGTTGGGGTGTTCCGGGTGATGTGCAGGTCGGTAAGGGTGTTCCGGGTGATGTGCAAGTCGGTTGGGGTGTTCCGGGTGATGTGCAGGTCGGTTGGGGTGTTCCGGGTGATGTGCAGGTCGGTAAGGGTGTGCCGGGTGACGTGCAGGCGGACGCCGACAGATTTGGTGCTGTGATCGGTCCGTGACTAGGCACTGAGGAGTCTCCGTGCATTGACGGTGTTAATGCGCTATGAAGATGTGCTGGTGATATTGGTGGCGCACGGTAGACGAGTGTTGGTGAGGTTGGGTGCTCGCTGTAGGGGTGCGGGTGTAGAGGGGCGGGTGGAACATGGGCGTGTTTGGCCGAGGAAGGCAGTTCTATGCGAGTAGGAGTCATTATTGGCGTTTTCAAATGCGTGAGTGGTATGGAGGTGGGCTCTAACATGGGTATGGAGTCTATACAGGTGAAAGCTGGTGTGGATGCCAGTACTTTACAAGCGTAGGTGTGTGGTGTGGAATTATGCAACACGGAGGTGCAAGTGTGTGGGGAGCTGGGCGTCGCAGAGGCACAGGTGTGTGGGGAACTGGGCGTCGCAGAGGCACAGGTGTGTGGGGAACTGGGCGTCGCAGAGGCACAGGTGTGTGGGGAGCTGGCCGAGACATAGGTGAGCGGGAAGCTGGGCGTCGCAGAGGCACAGGTGTGTGGGGAGCTGGGCGTTACAGAGGTACAGGTGTGTGGGGAAGTAAAGGCACTGGGTGACGAGCAAGAGGGACGGGTGAGCGTCGAGGAGGCGGGAAAGTGGTCAACATACGAGAAAGCAAGCAGGGTGCAGACGGGCACTAACGTAGGGCTGGCCGGGGTGATGGTGACAGTGGGAGGGGTGACATAACCAGCTGTGGGGGCGAGGAGGTCTAGGGTAGATGTCGTACTAAGAAGACATGTAGTCGCCTCCCCATCACTAAACTCTGACGGAGGCGATGTTGGTGGTAGGCGGTCGGCCATCACGGGAAATTTGTAAACACAAAACACACGACAAACAGCGTCTTACGGATGCCGCCGGAGCGAAGACTGACAGAACCGGAGAACTTCGTGTAAGACAAGGAACACAAGTTGTTTATGAGACTGGAAGAGTCTCCTCATCAGGATAACAGGATCCGGTAGCCTACCCTCAGCTAAAACATTACTAAAGGCAACTGAAAGGTCTCTACGAGCCTGGGGAAAAGGAGGACCGTGGTGCAAAACTACCGGGAACTACAAAACTACGAGCTGCAGTGACCAGAGTAACAAGGATATACAATATATCACAGGCAGAGAATGGACTGTGCTTGTGGAATGATTGGGGGATGATGAGAGGTATGGCTAGGGCAGGGTGGTGACGGCCTGAAAACATGAAAATGAAATAACAAATATTACTGGGTCATAGAGGCAATACAACTGTGTCATGATATTCCCTCAACAAAACCACCCCCATTGGATGGATCTACTTCTGCCATCCTCTATAATAATAAGCAATGTATAAGTGCCTAAAAAATCTATATTTGGAAATGAGGATTACTGTACAAACAAAGCAAATGAGACGCTAGATAAGAACTGATATGATGAATTTATTATTGAAATTATAAACCGGAAACCATGTTACCATTTTATACTTGGTATAAATAATACAGGAAGGTGTGTGTTAAGTGTTAACGAAGGTGCGTTAATTACTAAGGTTAGCGAGGTTGTTACACCCCCGCGCACTCCTCCCACCCAGGTAACGAACCCCAGTCCTCTTTTGGGGGAGTAGAAGAACTCCCAGAACCCCATCAACCAGGTATCAACCACTATAACAGGAGTCAGTGCCAAGGTGGGTGGATAAGGTGGGTGCCAGGATTCATCATCCATTAACCCAGCCCCTTACGAAACCTGTACATCTTTCAACAATCACGACGGCTTTGTTTCGGCACAACAGAAAACGGAACAGTACGTCACTTTCACCAGCCGCTTCCGTTTTCTAGAATGACAATTGTTGGCCTTAGGTAACGCAGGCGACGTTCTTTGTGAGAGGACAAGTTGGCTATTCACTACAGTCCCGGCCCCACCTCGCCCACTGCCCAACCTGTCCTCGTACCTGGTTGATGGGGTTCTGGGAGTTGTTCTACTCCCCAAGCCCGGCCCGAGGCCAGGCTTGACTTGTGAGAGTTTGGTCCACCAGGCTGTTGGTTGATACCTGGTTGATGGGGTTCTGGGAGTTGTTCTACTCCCCAAGCCCGGCCCGAGGCCAGGCTTGACTTGTGAGAGTTTGGTCCACCAGGCTCTTGGTTGATACCTGGTTGATGGGGTTCTGGGAGTTCTTCTACTCCCCAAGCCCGGCCCGAGGCCAGGCTTGACTTGTGAGAGTTTGGTCCACCAGGCTGTTGGTTGATACCTGGTTGATGGGGTTCTGGGAGTTGTTCTACTCCCCAAGCCCGGCCCGAGGCCAGGCTTGACTTGTGAGAGTTTGGTCCACCAGGCTGTTGCTTGATACCTGGTTGATGGGGTTCTGGGAGTTCTACTCCCCAAGTCCGGCCCGAGGCCAGGCTTGACTTTTGAGAGTTTGGTCCACCAGGCTGTTGCTTGGAGCGGCCCGCAGGCCCACATACCCACCACAGCCCGGCTGATCCGGAACTTCTCTTGGAAAACAGTCCAGTTTCCTCTTGAAGATGTCCACGGTTGTTCGGGCAATATTTCTTATAGTCGCTGGGAGGACGTTGAACAACCGCGGACCTCTGATGTTTATACAGTGTTCTCTGATTGTGCCTATGGCACCTCTGCTCTTCACTGGTTCTATTCTGCATTTTCTTCCATATCGTTCACTCCAGTACGTTGTTATTTTACTGTGTAGATTAGGGACCTGGCCCTCCAGTATTTTCCATATGTATATTATTTGGTATCTCTCTCGTCTTCTTTCTAGTGAGTACATTTGGAGAGCTTTGAGACGATCCCAATAATTTAGGTGCTATATCTCGTCTATGCGTGCCGTATATGTTCTCTGTATTCCCTCTATTTCAGCAATCTCTCCTGCTCTGAAGGGGGAAGTGAGCACTGAGGAGTACTCAAGACGGGACAACACAAGTGACTTGAAGAGTACAACCATTGTGATGGGATCCCTGGATTTGAAAGTTCTCGTAATCCATCCTATCATTTTCCTGGCTGACGCAATACTTGCTTGGTTATGCTCCCTAAACGTTAGATCGTCGGACATTATTATTCCCAAATTCTTTATATGCTGTTTTCCTACTATAGGAAGATTTGATTATGTTTTGTACCCTGTATTATGTTTCATATCCTCATTTTTGCCGTATCTGAGTACCTGGAATTTATCACCGTTAAACATGTTCTTTTCTGCTGCCCAATCGATAACTTTGTCAATATCTGCTTGTAGTTTTTCAATGTCTTCAGCAGAGGTAATTTTCATGCTGATTTTTGTGTCATCTGCAAATGATGACACGAAGCTGTGACTTGTATTTTTGTCTATATCTGATATGAGAATAAGGAACAGCAGTGGTGCAAGGACTGTACCTTGAGGTACAGAGCTTTCAACTGCGCTTGGACTATTTAATTTGATTGACTGTTACTCTGTGTTCTGTTCGACAGGGAAGAATACAAAGAGTACCGTACAAAGAACGTCACATTTCGACGTTCTTTGCAGGAGACGTACTGTCCCGTTTTCTGTTTTGGGTCCTCAGGTTAGGTTAGGTTAAGAAACTTTAAATTTACCGTTTTCTTGACGTTACCTTAGGAGGCCGGGCTGAGCATTGGCACCAGTGCCACCATATACCCCCCACCACACACACACACACACACACACACACACGAAATATAAGAAAATTCACTTTCGCAAACAGAGTGGTAGACGGTTGGAACAAGTTAAGTGAGAAGGTGGTGGAGGCCAAGACCGTCAGTAGTTTCAAAGCGTTATATGACAGAGTGCTGGGAAGACGGGACACCACGAGCGTAGCTCTCATCCTGTAACTACACTTAGGTAATTACACACACACACACACACACACACACACACACACACACACACACACACACACACACACACACACACACACACACACACACACACACACACACACGAGAGGTTGTGCGCTTAGCGCGTTGGAACCCCAACATTTTAAACACTTTCCCGTTAATGACAAATAAAACATGGCACACACATGGCATCATACACCTGCCATCCGATTTACCTCACACATGAAAACACGTGCCACACAAATGACTGCCGACATAACACACACCCAAACAGCTAAACGATTACACACACACATTACAAAATAGGCAAACGTGAATCTTGTCCCTTTGCTGATACTGTACGAAAGCCGATTCCTCCCCCCCCCCACCCCACCCCAGACGAAAAATGGGTTACGAAGTCCGGGAGCATCCCAGTGTCTGGGATGCTCCCGGACGCAGGTTCGAATCCTCGTCACGGCCCTTGTGGATTTGTTCTTATTGACCAATGTAATATCCGAGAAGTTCAGCAACTTACAGGAAGACCTCGACAAACTAACCCCCAACAACTGTAAGATAATACAAAAGGTTAAAAGGATAAAGAGCAGAAAGAATCAACACCTTATATTGGAACTACAGGATATTCCCAAAGCACAGACGGATACCTACTAACATAATTCACATTATCAAATACCAATACCTCACGCACACAAGCAGGGCAATACGGGATGCTGGCAAACAGACGTTGAAACACCTAAATAATATATCATTCAGGGAACTCTACACAGCTGCTATGTAGAGTTAATATTGAATTCCATAGAGTCTGGACCCGGGGCTGAGTGCATGGGCATGTTGTCAATTTCTCTTTCAAAATCTGCCACACTCGTGTTGATATCAGTTATATTTACAGGTGCTTAGATATCACACAAAGTTATCCAGATCTTCCACTTTCATGCTGTTTATTGGAGTGCTAAACATGTCCTCATCATTTTTTTTAGGATTTCACTAATCGTCATCCTCCGTGTATGAACCTTCACTTGTACGAATAGGTTCAATACTGGCAGTGGTTTTTGCTTTTGATTTCGCATATGATGAAATATTTTTGTTTTTCTATATTTCTTGTATTGCTTTCTGTTCTAGTTGCCTTTCTTCAGTCTGATATGACTGCTTCAGTCTCTGCTCGATTTATTCAATCTCCCTGTTTAAATTATTCCTTCTGTGTAGGGAAAATTGTGTCTGCGTAAGCATTTCCCTTAATTTTTTTTTTAGTGTCTGCGTTTACCCTCTTCCCTTCCCACACCTGCCACACCTACCCTTACCACACCTGCCACAGACCACACCACCTACCCTTACCACACCTGCCATACACTGACAACGCCCATATCAGCCATTAGCCTCGCCCCACCTGCCTGCGGATTACCTTAGCAGCCTCTCCTCCTCCCTTGCAACCCCAGCACCCCCCTTGCAACCCCAGCACCCCCTTGCAACCCCAGCACCACCCCCCTTGCAACCCCACCACCCCCTTGCAACCCCACCACCCTCTTGCAACCCCACCACCCTCTTGCAACCCCACCACCCCCTTGCAACCCCACCACCACCCCCTGGCAACCCCAGCACCACCCCCTTGCAACCCCAGCACCACCCCCTTGCAACCCCAGCACCCCCCTTGCAACCCCACCACCCCCTGGCAACCCCACCACCCCCTGGCAACCCCACCACCCCCTGGCAACCCCACCACCCCCTGGCAACCCCACCACCCCCTGGCAACCCCACAGCAACATCAACTGGACAGATACACGTAGCAATGTGAACATTTTGATAGTAATACAGCAGTATTTCGGTTCCCAGACTGTTATATATGCAGTTGTATAATACAGATGTATAATACAGATGTATAATACACCCGTAATACTAAATGTTAACATTACAGAGCGAACGGTTAAGTAAAATGACACGCAACACCGCGAAGCTTTGTGACAAATGAGCATCGCCTCGAAGGGTTAGATGGACCAAGTTCGTACACCTCGACTGTGCTGAAAACCACTTCAAAAGTGACGTTTGGCTATCTTGAGAATGTGCTGGTTTACGGGCTCGCCATAGCCCGTGCTACATGGACACTTCGTTCTGAGTAGCTATATCTGAAACAAATATGTGCTGGTTGTAGAGTGTGCAGGTAGCACACCAAGACTGGCCAGACGCTGCGCATTCTCAAGATTACTGTTTGTAAACAAAACACAAATCAATTTGTAACGTGAAAGTTAATCATTCTGAGAATAATAGAAATAAGGAATATTAGAAGGTTATCTTGAGATGATTTCGGGGCTTCAGTGCCCCCGCGGCCCGGTCCTCGACCAGGCCTCCACCCCCAGGAAGCAGCCCGTAGCAGCTGTCTAACTCCCAGGTACCTATTTACTGCTAGGTAAACAGGGGGCATCAGGGTGAAAGAAACATTTTTGCCCATTTGTCTCTGCCTCCACCGGGGATCGAACCCAGAACCTCAGGACTACGAATCCGAAGCGCTGTCCACTCAGCTGTCAGGCTAAAGACTATATTGACCCCCCAACAATGCAAGCAAAGACAATATTGACCCCCCAACAATGCAAGCAAAGACAATATTGACCCCCCAACAATGCAAGCAAAGACAATATTGACCCCCCAACAATGCAAGCAAAGACAATATTGACCCCCCAACAATGCAAGCAAAGACTATATTGACCCCCCAACAATGCAAGCAAAGACAATATTGACCCCCCAACAATGCAAGCAAAGACAATATTGACCCCCCAACAATGCAAGCAAAGACAATATTGACCCCCCAACAATGCAAGCAAAGACTATATTGACCCCCCAACAATGCAAGCAAAGACAATATTGACCCCCCAACAATGCAAGCAAAGACAATATTGACCCCCCAACAATGCAAGCAAAGACAATATTGACCCCCCAACAATGCAAGCAAAGACTATATTGACCCCCCAACAATGCAAGCAAAGACTATACTGACCCCCCAACAATGCAAGCAAAGACAATATTGACCCCCCAACAATGCAAGCAAAGACAATATTGACCCCCCAACAATGCAAGCAAAGACAATATTGACCCCCCAACAATGCAAGCAAAGACAATATTGACCCCCCAACAATGCAAGCAAAGACAATATTGACCCCCCAACAATGCAAGCAAAGACAATATTGACCCCCCAACAATGCAAGCAAAGACA